CATCCTGACTCGGCCCCAGACACACTGACCAGATGTTTGGAAGCTGTGGCTGGATGGTTATGTGGGAGCCGGTTGAAGCTAAATCCTTCGAAGACAGAGGTCCTGTGGCTGGGACGGGACGATATGGGATTGGGGGGGCAACTCCCATCTCTTGCGGGGTCGCAATTAGTGCCAGCACCGTCCGTTAAGGGTTTGGGTGTAATCTTCGACACCTCTCTTTCCATGGAGGCGCAGATTGCAGCTATAACAAAGGCGGCATTTTTTCATCTCCGCCAAGCTAAGCAGTTGGCTCCTTACCCGTCTCGCCCTGACCTTGCCACTGTGATCCACACGATGGTCACCTCCAGACTGGATTATTGTAACTCGCTCTACATGGGGCTGCCCTTGAGACTGACCCAGAAACTCCAGCGGGTGCAGAATGCTGCAGCGAGACTCCTTACGGGGTCCTCGCTGCGAGATCACATTCACCTGGTGCTATACCAGCTGCACTGGCTCCCAGTGGAGTACAGGATCAGGTTTAAGGCGCTGGTTTTAACCTTTTAAGCCCTATACGGCCTAGGACCCTCGTACCTACGGGACCGCCTCTCCTGGTATGTCCCACAGAGAAACTTACAGTCTTCAAATAAAAACATCTTGAAGGTTGCAGGCCACAGAGAGGTTAGGCTGGCCTCAACTAGAGCCAGGGCTTTTTCGGCTGTGGCTCCGATCTGGTGGAACACTCTGTCACAAGAGACTAGGGCCCTGCAGGACTTGACATCTTTCTGCAGGGCCTGCAAGACAGAGCTGTTCCACCAGGCCTTTGGCCAGGGCACAGCCTGACTCCCTCCTTCGGCAATCTTCGCGGAGCTCTGGCACAATGGTTGCCAGTGGTTTGCTTTGAATTAATTTTATAATGAATGATTTTAGAGTGTGGTGTTGTGTTGTAGTGTTGTACTGTTTTACTGTTGTTAGCCGCCCTGAGCCTGGCTTCAGCTGGGAAGGGCGGGATATAAATAAAATTTATTATTATTATTATTGTTGTTGTTGTTTAGTCATTTAGTCGTGTCCGACTCTTTGTGACCCCATGGACCAGAGCACGCCAGGCACTTCTGTCTTCCACTGCCTCCCACAGTTTGGTCAGGCTCATGTTTGTAGCTTCGAGAACACCGTCCAACCATCTTGTCCTCTGTCGTCCCCTTCTCCTTGTGCCCTCCATCTTTCCCAACATCAGGGTCTTTTCCAGAGAGTCTTCTCTTCTCATGAGGTGGCCAAAGTATTGGAGTCTCAGCTTCAGGATCTGTCCTTCCAGTGAGCACTCTGGGCTGATTTCCTTAAGAATGGATACGTTTGATCTTCTTGCAGTCCATGGGACTCTCAAGAGTCTCTTCCAGCACCATAATTCAAAAGCATCAATTCTTTGGCGATCAGCCTTCTTTATGGTCCAGCTCTCACTTCCATACATCACTACTATTATTATTATTATTATTATTATTATAGAGGGCAAATGGGCAAACCATTTCCCAAAATATCAGTCAGGTCAACATATTCCTCCAGCATGACATTGAAAAAGTGGGGGTGGGGGGTGGAGGGAAAGTTGTACTCCCTGGAATTGGCATTAATAGATGGCAGAAAAGGCCAGTGTCTTGTCAATACATAATTCCAATTAAAAGCTGAAAAATCATGAGTCCCAGCTCTTGGGAGCAGGAAAGAAGGGGTTGGGAGCGATTCACTGATAAATGTATTTATGCACTGGCTCAATGGGAAAACTTTAGAAATTCATCGGAAATCACTCATTGTATCAATCTTCTCCGTTCCAATGGCATTTAGGACCCAGGGAAGTGAGGTATAAGGGGAGGGGTGAGTGAGCCCACCATAATCCCCGAGATGTACAGACACCTCTGCAGGGCCTTCCCAAGGAGTCATGGCCAGTGATATCCTGCCCCAAAAGTGTCAGACAGATATCCAACCATCTCAATCACAATGCCTATCCATCTTATAGTGGGATGAAGCCGGACAAGACAGAGGGGTGTATTTGATTTGACTCAGGGACCAAGGAGCTGTAAATACTTTCCTTTGTACTGGGATGGGAGTAAGTGTCAACGACTATATTTGCGTGACAGGGGTATGCCTGGATCTCAGGTTCTACCCGAGACCACACCTTTTCTGTGACAGATCTATGATGTCTTGATGATGCATCCTGAGATGTATTATGGGAAACTTTAAAATACGGATGTAACCATTGATGGGGGCTTCTGGCTGCTTTGTCTTTGTGGCAGTGGGAAGTCTTGTTGCAACAAGAAAGATCAGGCCTACTGGCTGCTGTTTTGTTTCTATCACCTGGCTAAAGTCTCTTGCTTGTGACACTCAACCTGAACTTATAGAAGTCAGGGTTAGGTGATTGCGGGGTGCTCCAAGGACTCCCTGTTACACCTGAAATGGCAGGGTCTGAACTGGCAACCCTGGTGAATAACCTTTGCTGTTATGTAAGTTTGGAGTGTGTGACAGGTGGGGTATGTGAAAGAGAGAGAGAGAAGCTGCGAAGCTCTTTGGTACGATAATTATAATGTTGGAAGCAGGGCTTTTTTCAGCTGGAACTTGCTGGAACTCAGTTCTGGCACATCTCAGGTGGGCGCTATCACTGGCAGAGGAAGGAGTATGTGGTGGGTGTAGTGGGTGCGGGCTGCCCTGGGTGTCATCCCTGGGAGGGGGGGACATCACTGCGCCGCTTCCCTGGGACACTCGCCATGCCTCCCTGGGATGCTCGCCACCCCCCCCCCCCGGGGACACTCACCTTGTCTCTGCAGGTGGCTAGCCCCACCCCCACAGGCAGCTAGCCCTGCCCCAGAGTGCACAGCACTAGCTCTGGGTACCATTGCCATTGTAAGAGAATGAGGGAGGTGTTCACGGTGAGTTATGGCACACCTTTTTCTAGAAAAATGGCACTGGTTGCAGACCCTCCAAGTGTCCATATTTACCAGGGATGTTCCCGATTTAAAGATGCCATCCTGGTTTATGATTTGATCTTGGAGTGTCCCACTTTTCCTTAAAGGTAAAGGTAAAGGTACCCCTGCCCGTACGGGCCAGTCTTGCCAGACTCTAGGGTTGTGTGCTCATCTCACTCTATAGGCCGGGAGCCAGCACCGGCTGCAGACATTTCCGGGTCACGTGGCCAGCGTGACAAGCTGCATCTGGCAAGCCAGCGCAGCACACGGAACGCCGTTTACCTTCCCGCTGGTAAGCGGTCCCTATTTATCTACTTGCACTTAGGGGTGCTTTCGAACTGCTAGGTTGGCAGGCGCTGGGACTGAACGACGGGAGCGCACCCCGGTGCGGGGATTCGAACCGCCGACCATGCGATCGGCAAGTCCTAGGCGCTGAGGTTTTACCCACAGCGCCACCCGCGTCCCTCCACTTTTCCTTAGGATGTCCCTATTTTCAATGGAGAAAGGTTGGAGGGTATGGAGTTATCCATCCCCTGAGCCATCTGAAGGCAATCCTGTATAGGGAAGTTTTTTTTAAAAGTAATGTTTTATGTTTTTATATATGAGACTTCCGGCATGGTGCGCTCAGTGGTGGGTCGAGGGGAAGTGCTCTGCATCAGTGGAGCATGGCCAATCACGGTAAATGGGAACTGGGGAAGAGCGAGGCATTTCACAACACGCTGTGCCTGTGAATACTTTATCCTGAGCAAACCGTTTTCTATGACTGCCTTTTCGGACTGATGAAGCGTGTAGCGAAACCTGTAATATATCCGGAGAACAGGTCTCCTTTTGCCCACTTGTGTTATTCTCACCAGGGTGGTGGCTTTGATTTGCCTTCCTGTGATTGATCCATGCAAACGGCTTTGTGTTTCCAACTCAAGACCTATTGAAGAACATCTCATCCAGTTCAATCTTTGAAGAACAGCTTTGAAAAACTTTTTCATGTTCTCCAGTGTGCTACCCTTGCTATTGTGGCGGCACAGGGTTGCCATTCTGTGATTGGACTTACGCTACTTGTTGAACGGTTCATTTATCCAGTCTGTATAACATTTACTGCACATGTAACTTGTTAAGATACAGTTGTACATTTATCCACTCCATGTTTACAGTATCTCCAGGCTTTGTTTTGCACATGGCACCTTAGTATGTTTGTTGCTTGAATGGTTACAAGTCTAGCTCTATTCTAGTTATTATTCTAGTAAATTTGGTTTTATACTTATAAGCCAGTTTGTGGTGGTGTTGTTTTGCTGCATTATTATTACTGTCACCACATTTGATACTTTTGTATATACTTTGTAGTTTTGTATCAGAGATGAGGACCAAGGTATCACCTTCTGCATATCATTCAACCTTTGGGCAAGCCACTCTGTTTCAGCCTCCCAACCTGAAATACGAAGAAATTACTAATACTGGCCTCCCTCACAGGACTGGTGTTAATTCTTACCATATCAGGTGTATGTACGTGAAGCACCTAAGGTGCCCTATAAATGGTGAGTCGGTTTTTGGCGTACAGAACCACACAAATACCCCTCCCCTTCTTGCCTTGCTAAAGTGAAAGAACTGAGACAACAGGGTTAATTTATTTTAATTGCACTTTATTATTATTTTCTTCAAGATCCTGTTTTGCCAAGGTTCAGAACTGGAGGTGAGCTATGGCAATAGGTTAAGTTTGGTTTCCACAGAGAGGAGCTGTTCAAGGTGATACCCACCACTACTCCCAGCAGCAGCTGGGTCAAAAGTGTGTAGGGTACAGGTGTGTTCGGCAGTGGTGAATTAAACAGTCAGGACTTTGAAGCTAGACAAAGTCCCAAATTGACATTTACTACCGAGAGAGAGAGAGAGAGAGAGAGAGAGAGAGAGAGAGTCACCCCTCTTCCCGCCAGCAGCCTCAAAAACCACAAGTTAAGGCCACCTCAGCCCAAATGAGCAATCTGGGGAGGCCCACAGGAAAAACTCCAGCTCCATCCATCTCAGCTCCAGATCAGCAATCACTGAAGCTCTTGAGAGAAGAAAGTATTGCCATGGCATTTGCCAGGCCGCTCATCCCAGCAGGTATAGGTCATCACTGTTGTCGTCATCATCATCAAAGAGTGGGGTGGGGGGAGGCCGACCCTTAAGGCTCTGAAAGCGAGAGAAAGAAAGGCAGGGATAGGTCACCGCTGCTTGGCAGAGCAGGTGGCCAGCTGAGCAGGACCATCAGCAAGGCAAGCAGGAGAAGGAAGCCAAGGATGTGGGCTCTAGCTTTCTCCTAGTAAGTCGCAGGGTTGCCCCTTGTGGGACTCAGCAGGGAGGACAAAACTGGAAGTAGTTGGCTCTGCTGCCTGTCAGTGGCTATGGCTCCAGCTATTGTTAGTTTTGAATAGTGGACATTGACCCTAATAAAGTGATTGGACTGATTGGACTTGTTAGTCACTTGTTACTCAAAGGCCATAGCAGCTGAAAGCATGCTTGAAACATAAATATGAACATGCCACAAAACCGTAACAATACAGCGCCCCTAACAGCCACAGGAAAGATTGGTGGTGCCCTGGTAACAAAACACCACCACTTTAGTTTATCAAACACCTATTGAGGGCGTCTATGGGTGGCGCTGTGGGTTAAACCACAGAGCCTAGGGCTTGCCAATCAGAAGGTTGGCGGTTCGAATCCCCACCACGGGGTGAGCTCCCGTTGCTCGGTCCCTGCTCCTGCCAACTAGCAGTTTGAAAGCATGTCAAAATGCAAGTAGATAAATAAGTACCGCTCTGGCGGGAAGGTAAACGGCGTTTCCGTGTGCTGCTCTGGTTTGCCAGAAGCGGCTTAGTCATGCTGGCCACATGACCCGGAAGCTGTACGCCGGCTCCCTCGGCCAATAAAGTGAGATGAGCACCGCAACCCCAGAGTCTGCCATGACTGGACCTAATGGTCAGGGGTCCCTTTACCTTTACTTATGCCTTCCACCTTAAGCCGTCCCAAATGGCACCATACACCACTGCACCCCCTCAAAGCTCTTACCACCTCTTCCTCGTCGTCGTCGTCTTCTACCAACAGAGTTCCCAGTGCAGATGGCTTGGGAGTGGCAACTTTGAAGAAACCACCCTTGTCCTCAAGAAGACTGCAAGAGAAAAAGACAGAAGGAAAAGGAGAGTGGGAGTGATGCAGTGGTTAACGGACCAGAACCCTGGGAGACCAGAGTTCAAATCACTACTCAGTCCTGAAGCTCATTGGGTAGTGCCTACCTTATAGGGTTGATGTGGGGGTTAAATGAGGGAGTGGGGGAGTGCTAGCACTGATGTCAATGAATGGAGCAGAGGGGTGTTGAGAATTCCATTCCTCCCGTACTGCAGATGTGTGTGGGATTGTTACATGTCACATGTCTGTTTACATTCCAGCACTGATTGTGGGAGTCTTGTGAGAGGAAGTTGAGATATGCTGTTTCCGCTCTGTATAGCTTTTGTTTTTTGCAGCTCTCTCTCCGAGGAAGAAAGACAGAGAGAGGAGCCATGTTTTATGTTATGTTTGATTTAATTTGCAATAAATTAGGTTTAGATGTTACTACTCAAGGCTGAGCTTCTGTTTTGAACTCTGCTCACTGTGTGCTCATTTCCCTGGATATGGGCCACATCAGTGTGACGGGAGACCCGAGGAATGAATCCCAGGCGACGCTGCAGTTGGGGGGAGGCAACAGGCCTCGGCGTTATCACCCAACAAGGGGGAGCCAGGCTCTTCCTTTGTGCCTTAAACCCCATGCTATTAGGGGGTGGGGGGAAGGCACGGAAAGGCAAGAGACTCATAATGGGTACAGTTCCTGTCCCCCTCCCGCCCTGGCACAGACCTGGAATCCGCTTCCATGGGGCTGGACGCTGGTCTTGGCTGTGAGGCTCCAGCCAAGTCCTGCTGCTTGTTGGCTAGAGCAGCTTGAGAGGTGGGGCCAGCGGTGTGCTGACTTGCCCCACTCTCCTCCTTGCCCTCTGGACCCGTTGTGGGCCCCTCCATTGCAGGGGCCATCTCACCCGCCGCTGGATTTGGAGGTGCCAGAATGGCGGTGTCTATTGTGTCCATTTCACCCTGAGTGCTTGGCCTCTCCTTCTCAATACTGGCGGAGAGCCTGAGAGGCGGCCTTGCAGTTTGAGCAGAGGCTGCATGAGTTTGTTCAACCGGTGCTTCCGAAGAATGAGCCTCAGGAGCTGCAAAAAGCAGACTGTCTGGGGCTCCTTTGAGAGCGGTGAATGGAGGACTGCTTGAGCTTTCCTTCAGATTAGCCAAAGGAGCGGGGGTTGCCACTGGTTCTGGTTCTCGGAGAGAGTTGCTGTTGGGATCCCCATAAAGGGGTGCGGCACTTGGCTGCTTCCTTTCCGCAGGACCTTCCTCCTTGGTGCTGCTGCTCCCCCTTTGCTCCTCCTGACTCTCCAGCAGCTGCAGAGTTGTTGTCTGGAACAAGTAGAGGGGAGGGGGGATTATTTGCCACAAAAAAAGACTGCAGCCCCTGATGAAAGTACAGTGTAATGGTTGGTCTCTAACCAGGACTCAGGAGACCAGGGTTTGAATCCCTACTCAGCCACACAGGCACAGCGAAGTGACTTTCACTTTGCAGTACCTTAGATACAACCTGTTATTTCTAGAGAGCTGGGCTTCACCCTCTTTGCCGCTCCCATGATTAGTAATATGGGGCTAAATGCCACCCCAATCTCTGACTGGTGCAAGACTGCAGGGGTCTAGGCACTTAGTCTGTGTTTCCTTTGGAAATGAGGCACAGTGTAGACTGTGGTGTCATAATGATATATAGTTTATTTACACCTGAGCCTGTAATGGAGGGGGCCCCAGCATACACTCCAAGAGAGTCCCGTTTTTCCCATTGCTGCAACCTCTAATTCAAACTGTCAGTCTGCATTGTGCTCTGATCCTGCCTCTCCAGCTTGCTGCATTTAACAGACTGAAAGCCTTTTTTCTTTTGATCACACTATAGCCAACTGAAATCCTAAAACTTCCTCCTAACCAAAACTTTGGCACTCTCTTCAAACTCACTATCTCAAAGCTCTGGGTGGGGCTTCACCCATCTGCTGGCTGGTAGAGTGTCTGTCTTGCTGATGGCCCATCTCTCTGTCCGCAGCACATACTGTATACTAAAATTGGATTGATAAAGAGGTTAGCATGGCCTCTGCAAATTGGTGAAGTGTTCCATTTTTTAAAGATGTTTAATGTTTGACTATGTTTTATATATGTGTTGGAAGCCACCCAGAGTGGCTGGGTATAAACAAAATAATAATAAAAATAAATCATCATCATCATCATCTTCATTATTAGTTCTCTAATGGCCCACCTCTCAAGCGATCTCCTCAACACAGGAAGCTGAGTCCAGCTGTTAAGCGTCTGACTTTCAGTTTCCGTGACCAGGGAGAAGAGTCGGTGGAAGAAGATTGGAAGAAATTTAAAGACTATTTACAGAAATATTGCAAAATTAATGAATGCTAGAATGATGTTGGATTGAAGTTAAGTGGTTTCTAGCTGTACAGGTACAAAAGAATATGGAAAAATTGGTTTTTAATATGTAAAAATTTAAAGTTATAATATATCAAGATTAAAGATTAGGATTAAAAAGGAGGGAAAGGAATTGTTGGATTAACAAATTTAATTGGAATACAAAAGAGGGAGGTATGCAGAGTCGTGGAAAGAAGCATATATTACACTTGTACCGAAAACAGAGACTGAAAAGACACAGCTTAAGAACTACCGCCCTATATCATTACTTAATGTGGATTACAAAATTTTTGCTGACATTTTGGCCAAGAGATTTAAAAAAGTGTTGATGGAAGTGATTCATAAAGACCAAGCGGGCTTTCTCCCAGGAAGACATCTGTCTGACAATTTGAGGAATATAACTGATATTCTGGAAAAACTGGAAGTGAACATAAACACTAAAGCAGTTTTGATATTTGTGGATGCGGAAAAAGCCTTTGACAACATTTCCTGGAACTTTATGAAGAAGAATCTACAGGGCATGGGGGTAGGCCAAGGCTTTGAGAATGGTATAAGTGCAATTTATTCAGAACAAAAGGCTAAAATAATTGTAAATAATCTGGTGACGGAAGAACTTAAAATTGAAAAAGGGACATGACAAGGTTGCCCAATTTCCCCACTTCTTTTTATTTCGGTCCTGGAGGTTTTGCTGAACATGATTAGAAGGGACCAGTTGGTCAAAGGTATACAGGTCGGAACTAAACAGTACAAATTGAGAGCATTTGCAGATGATTTAGTATTGACGTTACAGAAGCCAGAATCTAGTACTAAAAGAGTTTTAGAATTGATTCAAGAATTTGGTCAAGTTGCAGGATTTAAATTGAACAAGGTAAAAACTAAGGTTTTAGAGAAAAATCTAACACCAATGGAGAAAGAGAGGTTTCAGAATATGACAGGTTTAACAGTGGTTAAGAAAGTGAAATATCTGGGGATCAACATGACAGCAAAAAATGGGAATTTATTTAAAGATGTTGGGCTGAAGTGAAAAAAGATTTAGAAATTTGGTCAAATTTGAAGCTTTCACTGCTGGGCCGTATAGCTGCGATAAAAATGAATGTATTGCCTAGAATGCTGTTTTTGTTTCAAACTTTGCAAATTGTGGACAAAATGGATTGTTTCAAGAGGTGGCAGAAAGATATTTCTAGATTTGTCTGGCAGGGCAAGAAGCCCAGAATAAAATTTAAAATATTAACGGACGCAAAGGAAAGAGGTGGATTTGCCCTGCCAGACCTCAAACTTTATTATGAATCAGCAGCTTTTTGCTGGTTGAAAGAATGGCTGCTTCTTGAAAACACTGACATTTTGGACCTAGAAGGTTTTAACAATGTATTTGGATGGCATGCATATTTGTGGTATGAAAAGGTCAAAGCACATAAAGCATTTAAAAATCATATTGTCAGGAAAGCGCTGTTTAATGTTTGGATAAGATATAAGGATCTATTAGAAAACAACTCCAAGGTGGCTGTCACCAATGGAAGCGAAAGCCTTGAAAAAGCTCAATATGGAGGTCAAATGGCCGAAATATTGGGAAATTTTGGAACAAGATGGAGATAGACTGAAATTGCAGAGTTTTGAAAAACTAAAAAACAAAGTGCGAGACTGGCTTCATTATTTTCAGATAATGGAGGCATTTAAATTGGACAAGAAAATTGGCTTCCAGGTGGAAAAATCAAAATTAGAAACAGAACTGTTAGAACCCAAAACTAAGAATTTGTCAAGAATGTATAATTTGCTGCTGAAATGGAACACTCAGGATGAAACGGTAAAATCTGCTATGATTAAATGGGCACAAGACGTTGGACACAACATTATGTTCGCTGACTGGGAACAGTTATGGACCACAGGTATGAAATTTACGGCATGTAATGCCCTAAGAGAGAATATTATGAAAATGATATATAGGTGGTACATAACTCCAGTCAAGCTTGCAAAAATCTATCATTTGCCCGATAATAAATGTTGGAAATGTAAAGAAACTGAAGGTACATTTTTTCACCTTTGGTGGACGTGCCCAAAGATTAAGGCTTTCTGGGAAATGATATATAATGAACTAAAAAAGGTATTTAAATATACCTTTCTTAAGAAACCAGAGGCCTTTCTCCTGGGCATAGTCGGCCAAACGGTGTTAAAAAAGGATAGAACTTTCTTTATGTACGCAACAACAGCAGCAAGAATACTCATCGCAAAGTATTGGAAGACACAAGAGCTACCCACACTGGAGGAATGGCAGATGAAACTGATGGACTATATGGAACTGGCGGAAATGACTGGCAGAATCCGTGACCAGGGAGAAGAGTCGGTGGAGGAAGACTGGAAGAAATTCAAAGACTATTTGCAGAAACATTGCAAAATTAAAGAATGTTAGAGTGATGTTGGATTGAAAATAAGTGGCTTCCAGCTGTACAGGATTTAAAGTTATATATAGATCAAGATTAAGGATTAGGATTTAAAAAGTTAAAGGAAATGGAAATTTGGTTTTTAAGAGGTAAAATTTAATGTTATTTTATATTAAGATTAAAGATTGGGATTAAAAAAGAGGGAAAGAAATTGCTGGACAAACAATTTGAACTGGAATACAAAAGAGGGAGGTATGAGGAGGTCCAGAAAATAAGTAAATTTAAAAATGGAGATGAAAAGGTGGTATTGTTTTTAACTGTTTTCTTTTTTGTCTTTTGTCTTTTGTTTTTTTTTTTGGATTATGTATTGTGCATTTTTGAATTGTGTATTTCTTTTCTTTTTGTTGTTTTTAATTTTTTATTGATGTGTTCTTTTTATTGGAAACCTTAATAAATATCATTAAAAAAACAAAAACAAAAGAGGGAGGTATGAGGAGGTCCGGGAAACAAGTAAACGTAAAAGAAGTGAGGAAAAGATGGAATTGTTTTTAACTGTTTTTTCTTTTTTTCTACTTTGTATTTTTCCTTTTCATTGTTAATTTTTTTACTAATGTGATTTTTTTCCCCTTTGAAACTTTAATAAATATTATTTAAAAAAAAAAAAAAAGACTTTCAGTTTCACTTTCCAAGCAGTGATTAAATTCTAACACTTACTAAACCCAGTAGTTATGGGCATCTTGCACCCAAAACTCTGGCACCCAAAGTCATGACATTTGGAACCATACAAAAAGGAAGAGAAATGATAGATCAGTTCACTCAATCTGCATCTTATTCAGGTGTCAGGATCTCTCTGCCCTGGGCTGTACCTTGATGGCGTTCAGGACGATACCCAGGACCTCCTGGCCGGTATAGGACTCCTCCAAGTTGAACTGGCCCCGCAGGGACTGGAAGACCTCGTTGATGATCTTCTTCACCTGGGGCAGGATGTTGCCAAAGAGTCAGAAGGCAGGGAAGCAACACCAGCAATATTCATTTATTTTACAACCAACATACATTATCTGGATAGCATCCATGTGCCAAGCGATGGATGACATTGAATTGTGCTGTTCAGACTAACAGGTAACAACTCCTGATTGAAGTTACAGAAGTGTGGATTGCCACTGCTTTTGCTGAATGTGATTAAGATTTCTCTCCACTGCTTGTCCCCCACCCCCGCCACTTTCCTTAACACTTCTTATTTCAAGAGCACTTCACGGTTTGTTACAGAGAGAGGAACACATCTGTGTGTATTTTTAGGAGATACCTTATTTGTGAGACTGTAAACTGTTTTAAACTGTTGTTAACTGCTGTTGCCTCTGCCAACCTGGTGCCCTTCCAAAAATTTGGGACTAATTAGGCAAGCCACATTTCACACTGTACTATGGACAGGGAGTCCAGTGTCTCTACAGATTGTATACAAGGTAAAATCCCACCCAGCTGCCTGCATAGAATTTTTCAGGGTCCTCCAGCCTTTGACAACATGTAATTTATGAGTTGCTTTTTCAGCTAACGCTAAGCTCTCTATATATTTGCATCAAGCAGTTCAGTCTCTGCATTACTGCACAGCATCACACTGGCTCACAGCACAGATGTGTAACAAGCCTGTGGGACACGTTAGAACCGCAGACCCTCCATCAAGACGTTTTAAGGGAGCCCCACCAATATTGCCTTTCACAGGCTCTGGCTGTTCCTGCTGTGGTGACAGCTTCTCGTTCTCTGAGCTTCTTGTGGTTTTAAGCAGGGAAAGCTAGAAGAAAACCAGCATTAACTAAGTGGCGGTCCGCAGACCACAGTTCAGGAGCCCTTGTAATAAACAGTAAGCAGAGAGGCCTGTGGCAGACATGAGAACCCAGCAGAGTCAGCAGAGGTGTTCCAAGGACAGGTGGCTCCTGCCCATTGAGGTGGGTGGGGCAGAAGAAAAGGAGCCCAATGACAGGCAGAGCCACATCCTGATTGGCTGTAAGGAAGAAGGCAAGCAAGTGGTGGCTGGATGAGGGCAGTGCCCTGTTTGCCTAATAGACTAGCCTCCACCGACTGACCTCTTGGGGGCCGCCTGCCAAGAGTAAAAGTAGGTGGAGCAACATACGTTAATTTCCCCACTTGTCCCTTTCAATCCTCCATTTAAGAATGAAAGAAGCCCAGCCAGATGGGTGGGGTATAAATTATTTCATCATCATTATCATTATTATTATTATTATCATCATCATCATCTTCCAGGGAGGCAAAGAACAGTCAAGGGTGCAAAGCTGGGGGGGAAGGAGAGGGGTGTGGCACTGGGAGAATCCTAAGGGTCAGAGAGAGTTTTCCAGGGAGCCACTTCCAATAAGGATCCCTCTCTCTATGAGAGGACCAAGTTACTTCTCATTGCTTTGGTCACATTCAACAGGAACAATACAATCAATAGGCAGATTTGGCTCCAATGGGGACTTACCGTTAGTTGTTCGCTAATAGAGCTTGATTTGGCACGCACAGCTGGCTCCCTGCAGTATGGAAGGAAGGAAGTTAACAAACCTGAGCATAGTAGGAAGAGTCTATTAAGGGGTAGGATACTCAACTGACCTTTGGGACTCTGCCTCGGCCAAGCCCCTCACCAACCCCACCTCATGACCTCCCCAAGGGAGCTTTAGCCTGGCTGGAATGTGTCCTTGAACTGTGACAGTGCACCTTGCTTCCCTGGACAGGGAGAGGTGTGTGCAGAAAGAAGCCCCACATGGTGTATTTTCTGGCTGCACAGAAGGCAGGAGCAGCATCTGTTGCTCTGTCCACTGGAGCCCCAGCCCAGCCCTGGAATGTGGCCCCTGCCAGGTTGCCTATGAGACAAGGTGGCCCTCAGGATTCTTTGGAAGAAGCCACGGCTGTTGAAAGTGGCATGGCGCTATTTGGAACGTATGATTTACTATGATTTATTGAATTTGTATACCGGATTTCATCCGTAGATCTCAAGGTGGTACAGTGCAGATGGGGTCTGAGTTATGCAGCTGAGGTGAAGGCCAAAAGCCTCAAACACAGAGGTGGCAACATATTTACTGCAGAGTTAGGATGCGACAACTGGGAGAATGGAAGGCTTAAAAGCTAAGGGCACCCTCAATTTATTTCTCACCCTGGCTTTGGAGCGGGAGTAGGAGTCGTCAGCCATGCTGGGTCTGTAGCGGGGCTTTCTGATTGTGGCGCTGGTGAAGGTGTGAGGGAGTCCCTGGGGCCCAGGTTCTGTCCGGCGGAGTCAGCGCCCTTTGCAAACCACACCTAAGGGAGCAAAAGAGGGGCATCATGGAGTCTGGTCAAGGCAACCACTGCCTCCATTTGTAGAAACTCATCCAGGCGGTAGACTGACCACCCAACAACCTTCTGAGGTTCTCTTGGTCGCTAACATGTTGGGAGGAAGACACACTCACCCGTTTGACTTCCACCTCAAAGGCCAGAGTTGAGTCCGGAGGAATGCGTTCAGCTTCTGCCAAAGGCCTGTAAGCCAATGCTGGCGGGATGAGGAGGAACCGCCTCCCTCCTCTCTTCATGCCAATCATTCCATCTTCCCAGCCCTTCAAGTTCCAGAAATGGAGAACCAAGCAGAAAACAAATTTGGGTGACCGCCTTCGCTAAGGGCCAACAGCATCTGTGTGTATGTTTGTCAGGTTGGTAAAGGCTGGTCGAGAGCAGGGCACAGGAATAATGACACTTCTCTTGCACTCTTGAGGACAGTACTGTAGTTTAAAGCAGGGATGAAAACCATTCCCTCTGGGGCAACCTTCTTGGTGGGGAGGAGCATGCCAGGAGTGGGCGGGGCTAGAGGGGAAAGTGGGAGGGGCAACAAATGTAATTTTTACCTTTGTGCAATAGGCTACTTTAGAAACCAACTCACACTCCCCCCTCTGTCTCTCATCCAGGACAGCAAAAGGCAGCACTGGAGGTCCAGGACTGTTTTGGTCCAGGCCACAGAGCAGGCTTGGCAAGGGGCATGGCCTGGGGTGAATCCTGAGGGCCAGTTTCAGTCCCTGCTGGGCCTGAGGTTCCCCACCCCTCCTGTAAAGAAAGGGCAAGCCTGACTGACCAGTAGGGCAGGATCAGGAATTTTGCAGGGATCAAGGGACCCTGTTTGGGCCTCCCACTCCAGCAGATCATGGCAGGTGTAAGACAAGCTAGGACAGCTACCTGCCTGCCGTTCTTGAGGAAGCCATTTGATCAGGGTTTGAGCTCAAAAAACATCACTGTCATTCAGCCTTCCACATAGCCCGGGTGCTGAACTCTGCTTAGATGTGGAACTGGAGGCAAGAATCCCTAACTGGGACCTTGCACTGCAGTGGGAAGATAGCGCCATCTTACCTTGATGATTTTACCAGAGCCTAGCTTCACACGCAGCAACTTTGTGGTGTTTATATTTGAGTCGAAAACCTGTTCCAAAAGGGAAGGTCGATGGGGTGAAATTACTTTTAATGCAGAAGATAATAGGTTCACATTCCGCTACTCCAGTTGCTGAGCCAACAGCAATGAGTATCGAAGGACGGGGCACAGCTCAGGGACACAGCACCTGTTTTGCAGGCAAAAGGTTCCAGGTTCAACCCTGGCATCTCCAAGTAAGGTCAGGGAAAGGCTTTTGCTTGAAAGCCTGGAGAGCTATTGCCAGTCAATGTGGGCGATGCCAACCTAGACCTGTGGCCTGATGCAGTGCAAGGCAGCTTTCCATGTTGAATCCTCTACCTAGCGGTGCCTCCCATGTTACAGATTGGGTAAAATGAGGTTGAGAAATAAGATCTACACCTTGGAGACAGGTGAAGCTCAGGGCCTAAGAGCATGTGCTTCCCAGGAAGAAGGTCCTGGGTTCCCTCCCTGGCATCCCCAGTTGAGAAAGGGCGGCAAGGCTGGGCAAGGCCCCACCTCTGGAGAGCAACCAATGCAAGCCCCATGGAAAAGCACTGGCTAGAGCTCATTGGGGTTGGGGTCAAATGCACATTGAGCTGTGAAGCAAGCTGGGTGAGTCTCATCAAGTCCCTCTCCTGTTTCATTTCCTTGCAATGTTATTGAAAGGCAAAAGGATGGGGTTGTGGGAGAAAAGGGCTGTATGCAATCTATAAACCAGGAGTGGGAAAGCTGTGGCCATGCAGTGCTGCTAGAGACTTCAACCCCCATCATCCCCAGACACCCCCTCTGCCAGGTCTCACCTGCCCAAGACTACCGTTCTGGAACAGCCAGCCTGTAAAAGTGATCTCCAGGACATCTCCAGTCGCCACACCTTGGCCGTCTCCGAGAACAAGATCCTGGCACAGCACTGAGTCAGGAGAACGGCTGCTGTTATACTTGGCAATGCACAGCTGCAAAGAGGAAGAACCAAGCCATTTGTGTCATTAGCTACCATTGTCATCCGCACCTATGCAATCTGGCCCAACGCAGCACTGGCTGAAGACCCCAGGGGCCTGAAAAGGCCCCAACTGGCTACACCACCATTCCTTGCCCTCCCTGGATGCTTCTTAGTGGTTGGCAGAGAAAGCATCTGGCGACTGATGCAAGAGAGCTGACCTCCCGCGAACACTAGTTCAGTGTCTGCAGGAGAGCCACCCCCCACCCCACAATGCAGTGCACGCCTCTGGCACCTGCTTGCTGAAGTCCACAGCTGCCATTTCTGATTCAAACATGATGGACCAAATCTGCCTCTGATCATCATAAAATGTGCAGTAGTTGTTGGGATGCACCTGCAGAAAGAGAAAAGAGAAAGTGGAATTCTGAGCAGCAGACAGCCTCTTCTCAAAACAACTTTCTTAATGATGGGTCTTGCTAAAGACCTTGGGTTGTGTCCCAATGTTAGCCCTACTCAGAGCAGATCCATGAAAATTGATGGACATGATGAACTTTGGTGCATTAATTTCAGTGAGTCTACTCTGAGCACACACACACAAACATCAACGTCTGTAGTGTGTCATGTTTAGACATGGAAAAATGCTACAGGACTTCAGGGTGGAGGGCTACCCCAAGGGATGTTAGCTACAGTAGGACAGAGGGCAGAATGTCATCTACTTTACTTTGTTACCTCTAGGTAAGCGTTTTAACCATAGAGGGGCCCCTTGGATCTAACACTACTCAAATCTAATGGGTTGCAACAAGCATTATCCCTACTCAAAGCAGACCACCTGAAATTTATTGACCACAGCTGAGACCTCATATGCAACGTGCATTTCAAGCAATATCATACCACCAAAGAATTCTGCTTAGCTTCAGCCTATGCCATGGTCCTTGCAGGTCTTAACGTCAAAGCTTACCGTGAATACAAACCATGCATCAATCCTGGCGGTCGCAATCTGCTGCAGCAGGCTGATATAAAGAAGCACTCCGTACTGGATTCCACAAGAGACGGAAGGACAGAAGAAAACAGGAGCAAAAGTGAGGAATCAAAAACTACGGGGCTGGCTGTTTTCAAAAGCACCTGGAGCTCTTCTTATACCAGGTGGCATTTCCACAGCACCCCAACACCCAAATGACACATTAACATACAAATACATCAGAGGTGTTCATCATAGGAATTGCTTTGGTTGCAGGTGCCTGGCTTAATTACATGTGGAATGACTTTGTTACAATGGAGCAGGCGTGGGGAGCCTTTGGTGCTGAGCTACAACACCCATTGGCTCTTGCCAGCATGGCCAGTGGAGAGGGATGATGGGAGCTGTCGTTCAGCGACATCTGGAGGACCAAAGGCTCCCTACACCTGCAGAAACCAAGGGGTGAGATCTGTCCTTTTCCGCCCAATCAGCTAAACGAGAATGACAGCCCAGTGTTTTATCCTGTCCCCACCACCCTCATCTGCAGCAGGGGAGTGGGACAAGGCAATCATACCAGAGCCTTCCTGGAATAAACGCGTATGTTTCCTGACATATTTTATCCATTGCTTGTAAAACACCTGTGAATCCTTTCATAGCAAAGTGGGGCAGAACAAACCACTGAAGAGCTACCTGACTGGGCTGAAAAGGACAGAGGCTGGAAAAACTGAATCCCTTTTCCAACATAAGCTGCTGAAACCCCCTTCCTTTTTTGAGTGTGGTGGGAACGTTTATTGGTTTTTCAAGCCACGACAAAGTTACTTTCTCACCTCCCTCTATCCACTCCGCACACAATATCCCCTAGGCCCTTCTTTTGCAAGATGCTAGTCCACATGGTTCTAGAGCACATAAGAGCACAGGGAGCTGCCTTGGACTGAATCAAACCACTAGTCTCTCTAGCTCAGGACTGCCTACTCTGACTGGCAGCAGTGTCCCCAGCCCTACCCAGAGGAGCTAGCGATTGTATTTGGGAGCAACAGCCCCTTCCCTGCTGAGAATACTTTTTGTAGAGAAGTTAGGTCAGAATAAGAAAAATGGGAGCTATAACCCTTGTGAGCTGATTGGGCAGAAAGAGACAGGAGCCAAAACAGCACCTTTGCTTTTTCCAGAGTAAGACATCATCAGGAAACCAGGATTCAGAGAAAGGGAAGCATTTCCTCAGCCCAACCTACATCAACCCGGTATCCTCCAGATGTTTAGGACCAACAGCAGCTGTAGTCCCAAACATCTGGAGGACAGCAGGTTGGCAGAAAGCCAGGCTACTTCAAGACACCACACCTCCTCCTCTTACCTCCTTGGTTGCATTGCTGCCCACTACAGCTGCTCCATACTTGCCATGTTTCACATATTTCCCATTGGTACTGGAATGAGAAGAGAACACCTCTTAGCTTCCCACAATTGTTGCCACCATGCCAACCCCATGGGTTATATTAAGCGGCTCTTTACAAAGACTTCCCAAGGGTTGTTTGACTCCCATCAGCCCAGGCCATCTGGCCAGCGGAGAGTGGCGATGTGGGGGGTGAGCGGTAGCAGCCCAGCAACATTTTATCAGCCCACAAGCTCCCCATCCCAGGAGGTCTCTATCCTCATTTCAGTTCAGTGTTGGCTGGTACCTCATTGGGGTGAATGCAGCGAGCCCAACTATAGGTGGCACCAGAGCGACAAGAAGGGCCAGCTAAGTCTAGGGCTGTCCCCATCCTCCTCCTTGCTGTGTTATACCATGGCAGGATGGAGACTGAGGGGGAAGAGGAAGCTGACAGGAAGTCCTGCCCTCTGGATCGGTTGGACGTAAGAAGGCAGGCAGGTGGGAGCCAGCTGAGGGCAGAATGAGGGGGTACCTTCCTACTGGACCTGCTTTCACTGGTGTAGCATAAGGCAAGGAAATCAACAGCACATCGAGCCAGAGTCAATGATATCCACAGCCTGATTGGCTGGAAGTAAAAAAAACAAAACAGGGTGAGGGCAGGCTGAGGTTGAGTTGGCGGTGCCCCATTCGCCCCAATTGACCACCCCCCACTGTTGTTCAATTCCACCTCTTTCTGAACAAGCCAGGCAAGATGGAGAGATGATTGCAAAAGATGTGAGCACAGGATTTGGGTAGCAAGAACACACTGCAGCTCATCCCCTCTACTGTAGTACTCACAACAAATATGCATGAACAACTGTAGCGAAGAAAACTGACTGCACTGCTGCAGTGGGCGCAGGAGCAGCTGCGGCTGCAGGAGCAGCTGCAGGAGGATGCTTCTGGGTAGACAGACCTGCAGCTGGAGCAGCACATGAGAAGGGTAAGTGCTCTGTTACAAACAGAGCATTGCTTGCAAACATCATGCCAAGTTAGCTCCCTTGTCTTGGGACCAAGCCAGTTGCTCAGATTAATGAAAAACAGGAAGTTGCCTTGTATGGCGTCAAACCACTGGGTCCATCTTCCTCAATGTGGTGAATACAGACCACCAGCACCTTTCTGGGGCCCCAGGTCAGGGGTCTCTCCCCAGCACTACTCGGGAGTTGACCAACCCAGTTGATTCTGTGGGGCTTCAGAACCAAAGGTTGGACTAGATGGGCCCCTGGCCTGGTCCACAAGGGCTCATCTTATGTTCCTAGGCATTGTGAACAGTTTACTTACCGGTAGCTGGATGACTAATTTTGGCCCGCTTGGATGGTCTGTATTGGAAGAGCACATTTCCAGATTCTGTAGCTGTCTGATCCTGTCCAAAGAGAGAGGCCAGCCTGGTCCTGGGCAGAGAGAAAAGTAACCATTCACTTCATTCACAGATGCTCATGTTTCACTGCAGTTTGGCGATTTTGTTGCAGCCTTCCCCAAAGACCAGAGGGTAATGGATTCAAAAACTAGAATCCTGTCAGTGATTAGGATGCTGGCCACATGACCCGGAACCTGTACGCCGGCTCCCTCAGCCAATAAAGCGAGATGAGCGCCGCAACCCCAGAGTCGGTCACGACTGGACCTAATGGTCAGGGGCCCCTTTACCCTTTACCTAAAGGAGTAGACACATTGTGAGTCTTCTCTAAGCAGAACTTAGTTGGAGACAATCCCTTCCTTTTCCTATTAGTTTCTATAACCTCTCTTAAGAACAAAAGAAAAGCCTGCAGGATCTGGCCAAAGGCCCAGCAAGTCCAGCATTCTGTTCTTACAGTAGCCAACAGAACCCAAGCACAAGAGGCCTCTCCCCTCCTGTGGCTTCCAGCAACAGTTGTTCAGAAGCCCTGCTGCCACCAACTTGGTGAGCACAGCCACGGTGACTAAACATCGCTAGCCTTCTCCTCCCTGAATTTTTCTAATCCTCTTTTAAAGTCACCCAAGTTGGTGGCCATTCCTGCCTCCTGCGGGAGAGTTCTGTAGTTTAACTGTGCATGATGTGAGAAAGTACTTTCTTTTGCTTTTCCTGAAGGTCTTCCAACATTCAGCTTCATCGGATGTTCACAAGAGGGAGAGAAATTGTTCCCTATCCACTTTCTCCATGCCATGCCTAATTTGATAAACTTCTATCATATTATCTCTTACTTGCTTTTTGTCTAAACTACAAAGTCCCTAAAACTGAAAAGGCTGTTGCCCAATTATTGCACCCAAGCTCTTATAGAACCTAGTACAGTGGTACCTTGGTTTTTGAACAGCTTAGTTCACAAACTACTTGGAACCCGAACACTTCAAACCCAGATATAAGTGTTCAGGTTTTCAAATCTTTTTTGGAATCTGAACGTACTTCGTTTGGGGGGGGGCATTTTCGTTTTGAGTGCTCGTTTTGAGTGCTCTCTCGCTTGTTGCCTGACCTGGGCTTCCCTTATTTTTATTTATTTATTTTAATTAAAGATTTTCTTGTTTTACAGAAGTTTTCTTGTTTTACAGAAGTATGTGTAATGTCTCTCGTATTTTTCCCATGTAACATTTTTACAAATCCATTTCATTTGTTGAGACATTAGGGGGAAAGAAAAAAGGGTGGAGGGGGGAAGATGGGTAGGGGTGTGGTCAGGTGGCGATGTTTCTATTATGCTTAATGTATGTAGGGTTTGGTGTCAGCGTTGCTTGTGCTGTTCACTTGTGTTCCTTTGGTGGTGAGAGAGGTTGGGGTTGGCTTAGGATGTGGTTGTTTATTTGTGATTGGCTGTGGTGATCTTTGTTTTTATGTGTGAGTGGGGTGGATGGGTGTTTTAGATCAGGTTAGCCACATTGATTTATATGCTGTTGGTGGATTATTGTCATTGTCTTGTTGGGCTGTGTACGTGATAAAGGGGAGCCATACCGGGGTAAAGGTATCTTCTTCTGTTTGTCCCCGTGTCAGTTTCAGTTTAATGGTTATTTTTTCTAGTAGGGCTGTTTCCCATACTATTTGGTACCATTGGTCCATGCCTACTCGTGACAGGTCTCTCCAGTGTCTGGTTATGGTGTTTCTGGCTGCTGAAAATAGGTGGGTTAAGAGTTCTTTGTGGTGTAAATGGGCATTGCTTTCTTGGAAGATGTTTAGTAGGGCCAATTCTGGGGTGATGTCTAATACTTGCTTAGTTATTTTACATATTTCTCGTGTGGCTGTTGTCCAGAATAGTTGCCTTCCTTTCCATCCCCCCTCCCCCGCTGGAACTCCCCCATCACTCACCCTCGTCCCTCCAATGGCAATGGGTAAATCACTGCCAGTTTTTAATAGTCTAGTTATGGGAAAGCACACCTTGGTTTTGGAACACTTTGGTTTTGGAACAGACGTCCGGAACTGATTAAGTTTCAGAACCAAGGTACCACTGTAAACAAAAATAAAATTGTAAAGGAATCCATTATTGAAAAGATACAAGCCCTGCCCTTGTGGTTTACCCTTCCCCACACGGTACAATTCACTGTCAGGAAGGTGGGGAGAGGGAATAAACCTGGCTGAATATAAGTGGTTTTTCCTACAGACATTCAGAAGTATCTCATCTCAGGGTTGTTCTGGGAGCTGAAACTTACCAGTCACCCCACATCCTAGCCCACATCCCTGCACTCCTGAGAGCTAGAAACTTGCAGATTAAAACAAACAAACAAACACTAAGACCAAGTATCTTCAAACATTAAATTTCCAGACTTAGCCCCAAACTTCATGCTATACCAAGGGGTGAAGTGCCCATTTTAAATGCCTGACAGCACCCCAAACAGATGGTCCCGATGAAACAAACCCGTGGACTGCCTGCCAAAGGTACTCTGTTCGCCGTGGGTTCAAGTGCCCCAGTCGGTTCTCCAGCTCCCACCCATTCAATGTTGGCTGCTGTTTTCAGTATCATCACTCCTCCCTCTCTTTTCCATCCTGAAGCATCAGCAAAGTAAGGCGTGGGCAGTGGGGGGTGAATTAAACAGCTAAGGTTTCCAAAGGCAATTCTGCGTTTGCACAACAGCAATCCTCTGGAATGGCTGCATGACCTTGTGAGAGATATGAAAATCTATCCCATATCATCTCTAAGCAGTTCTTCTAGGATTCCAGCTAGAGAAAAACCACAAGTGGCAACATGCATGTTTGAGGGGCTCCCAAAATAAGCGAGCGGAACAGAGATTGTGAGCTTGGCTTCTCCTTCTGGGGAGAGTGACATTCTGGGAAGACATAGATCAGGGGTCAGCAAACTTTTTAAGGAGGGGGGCAGTCCACTGTCCCTCAGACCTTGGGGAGGCCGGACTATATTTTGAATATGGGGGGGCACCTGCAGTTCTCCATAAATTTCTCAACTCCAAAAACTACAACTTCCACTGGCTATATGTCACTCTGACCTTTGCTCACTGCCAGTGTTGCCAAAAGCAGCAGTGCAGTGCCCTTATTTTGAACACCTAAAATGTCACAGTGTAAAGGGCACTAGAAATCTTTCTTAGGGTTCCTTTTGTAAAAGGAATATAAGACCACAAAACACCTCCATTCAGTCCTGTTACTGGCACCCACTTTAGGGCAGGAGTTAGAATGCCAAATTGTGACCTGGGAGATCAGGGTGCAGACCCTCACTTGGAGATGAAGCTCACTTTGTGACTCTCTCTCAGTGTAACATCAGCACAGAAGAAGTGGAAACAGAAAGCTAGAATTAGGAAAAGGGAAAATATTTCACCACAGCAGAGGCAACAGGCATTTGTATGCAAATCAACCCTATGTACATTCATGGGGAAGTTCAGTTGAATTCAGTGGAGTCTACCCCCAAATAAGTCTTGCTTTTTAATAATAATGCTCCTTTCCCCATTTACCCTTGGGCCGAACTTCCTAGTCCCAAACCACTACTAAAACATAATGTATTCCCTCACTCTACAAAAGGTGTGGGGTTCCTTTGGCCCTCTGGATTGTAGCGCCTAACAGCACGTATTTGCAGACAAACCCCTCTGCATGTGCTCGGAATCACCCTTCGCATGCCTGCACCCACCCACCCCAGCCCCACATGCAGCCGCAGCCCCACATACAGCCACAGAACCACATGCAACCCCAGAACCACATACTGCCCCAGCCCCACATACAGCCCCAGAACCACATACGGTCGCAGCCCACACTCACCCCAGCCCCACATGCAGCCCCAGCCCCACATGCAGCCGCAGCCCCACATACAGCTCTAGTCCCCTCACACAGCCCCGCCCCCTCACGCGGACCCAAAGACACTCGCACACCCCGCATCTCCCCCCACGCAGAGAGGCGCCGCATTCTCACCCTCCCGTCGGAAGCTGGAAGGCCTCGTCTTCTTCATCCATGTCCCCCAACATCCTGACGGCCCCTCGCTCCCCGCGCCCCTCGGCTAAGCCCAAGCCGGGAGGCGAGAGCCGCAAAGTGCGCGGCTGCAACTTCTCGGCCATGGCGCAAGCGCTGGGCTGCGGAAGCGAAACTAGCAAACCAAAGCGGCCGGCGGCATTCGCGGTCCCCAAACGGGCCAAACTTGCACGCGGAGGGAAGAAACGCGTCCAGGGCAACACGAGCAATCAGCTGCTGCCGCAGCCGCGAATTTGGCGGCGGGACTCTTAAGTTTGACGGAAAGGGAGAGGGACACGGCTGGACCAATGGGAAGCTGGATTCTGGGAGAGGGAGGCGGGAGGGCGGGTGACGCTCGCTCGAGGCTGGCCAATGAGGTGGCGCCTCCGCTCGCCGGGCGAAGAAGGCACGCGTCTGAGGAGATCGAGGGAAGGAGGCGAAGGCGAGGAAGGCGCAGGTAGCTAACTTCCGATTCTTCTCATTGTGCTATTTACACTTTGTCTGGCAAAACACATTGCTTTCTTCTTATTTAGCGTTCTCGTTAATATCCATAAACTTTTACTATGTACATTCTCGATATTCCAAGATTCATTCTAGGTCTGTCAGGAGATTAACGTCGTCACTAATTTTTAAGATCTTCCTTAAATGTTATCCGATCTTGATTAACTTTTGGTATTGAATTTCCTCATATTCTCCCTGTTGTTCTGGCAAGTTGTAGATCTTCTATCATTTTTGCTTGCCAGTCCGTTTTTGTGGGGATGATATCACTGTTACCAAAAACAGTAGATTCAAATTCTTTGTACTCATTCAAATCCTAACATATGTTGGTTAGATCGGACAAATAGCTGAAGAGGAAACTGAGCTGCTGTAGCCAATAATGTGGGATTTAAAAGGTTTTTGTGGTAAGGGGCTTTGTGGTAATTGTGCTTTGACAATGTAGTGTGTTCACACCCTCAGTTGGTTTACTGTGTAAGTCGCTTTGAGGTACCTGAATGCAAAGATAATGTGGGATTTAAGAGGTTTGGTGATGCATCTTACTCTAAACACACATGACATGTTGTAGAAAATAATCCAACTCTGGGATCATCTCTTGAGGTTGATTATTGTATTGAACATGTGGTGTGCCTTTCATTCCCACACACTGCTCCAGTAATGTTTGCAGCTGAAGCCTACATTTCAAGAAAGTTCCAGGAATCAGTGAACAGAAGCATTGCTGATTTTTCTACAATGTCTTATAACAAGCTTGTAAAGCTTGTGTAACCTGGGTAGCCAATTCAAAATTTGTGGTCACCAGAACATGCCCTTGCTACAAAAAGCCTACTGCACCACTGGAACATGGTGCAAGATGAAGGACAAAGATGCAAGGGTGGGTATCTTTCCCTGTCTCTGCACCTGCATCATCTTCCTCCAGCTCAGAGCCCGAAAGGTAAGATAGAGGTTTGTTTTGGCTCTCTGTTCACACCTGACAAGTGCAGAACTAAAGCAAGCTGTGGGCTTCTAACCATGTTTGGGACTGCAGAGGGAGTAATTATTTTTATCCCTCAGCAGCTCTAATGTCAGAAGAAGGCCTCAGACTTGTCCCACTCGCAAGAGCACGTCTAACTCCTTGCTCTGATGAAGGGAGCAAGCAGGCCTTTTTTCTTCTAATAAAGAGTTAACTTCACTTAATCAATATGATTTCTTGCTAGCTGGCTTGCTGAGAACAAACTACCACCGAAGGAGCATGGTATGTCCTCCACCAAAGTACTACCTCTCCTCTAACACCCCCCACACTAATATCACAGACACAGGGACTGTCCAGGATTCACAATGGCACCCAACATCCAAACATAAATGAAGACCCCCCCCCCCACACACACCTTGAGCACTCCTGAGCTGAATCTAGCGATCATATCTCTACTTGTGGCTGAACATATGCCACAAAATGGGCAAAGTCATGCCAAACTGAAATTTCAGTCTGCCATCTTGATTCAAAATGGCACCAAACATACAAACAGCAATAAGGTCTTCCGCCCCACCCTGGGAACCCTCATGCCAAGTTTAGTATTATAAATGGAGAGTTCTCCAATTGTATAGAGGGTAAATGGAGAAACCATTTCCCAAAATATCAGTCGGGTCAACATATTCCTCCAGCATGACATAGAAAAAGTGTGGGGGTGGGGTGGGAGGGAGAGTTGGACTCCCCAGAGTTGGAATTAATAGATGGCAGAAAAAGGAAGTGTCTTGTCAATACATAATTCCATTTAAAAGCTGTAAAATCATGAGTCCCAGCTCTTGGGAGCAGGAAAGAAGGGGTTGGGAGCGATTCACTGATAAATGTATTTATGCACTGGCTCAATGGGAAAACTTTAGAAATTCATCGGAAATCACTCATTGTATCAATCTTCTCCGTTCCAATGGCATTTAGGACCCAGGGAAGTGAGGTATAAGGAGAGGGGTGAGTGAGCCCACCAGAATCCCCGAGATGTACAGACACATCTGCAGGGCCTTCCCAAGGAGTCATGGCCAGTGATATCCAACCACCTCAGTCACAGTACCTATCCATCCTATAGTGGGATGAAGGTGGACAAGACAGAGGGGTGTATTTGATTTGACTCAGGGACCAAGGAGCTGTAAATACTTTCCTTTGTACTGGGATGGGAGTAAGTGTGAAATACTATATTTGCGTGACAGGGGTATGCCTGGATCTCAGGTTCTCAGGCATTACGTCAATAGAATTAGAACAGAGAGAGGGGAAAAATCAAAAGAAGGGACATTACCATATTCATTTTTTCAAACGGCAGAAAATTTAAATTTAAAAGACGCATGGAGACATAGATAGCCAAATGAAAAAATAATACACAAATTATTCTGAGGCCAAGCAATAGGCAGGAAGAATAGCTGGAATTTGGATAACAAACAATTTAATTTGGAAAATCAAAAAGGTAGAAATACAACCTAAATCAATAACAGACCATAATTCAATTATGATGGAGTTAAGAAACAACAGAAAAATACAGTTGACCCTTGGGTTCTGTTACCTTTGGGTAACGTAATCCTTGGGTTGCAAACCTGGAAGTGTATACTTCCGGGTTTCACTGCGTGGTCATGCACAGAAGTGCTCAATTGAGCTGTGCGCATGCACAGAAGGGCGTCTCCAGTTACAAAGTTTTTGGGATGTGGCCAGGCTCCAGAACAGATCCCATTCGTAACCGAAGATGGAGAATGAACGAAAAAATCTTAAACAATGAAAAGATAATGAACAAAGCACAAGAACTTCTGAAGGAATCTTTTCAAATAAACATGGCACAAGAAACATACATCAGAGTGAAATGGGATGCAAGCAAAGCTTTCATAAGAGGATTTTATATACAACAATATGCGATACAAAAAAGAATTAGAGAGGAAAAATTCGATCAAATTAGAAAGGAAATAGATGCAAATTAGAAAACATTAGCCAAAGACCCAAAGAATGAAAATGCAAGTAAAAAAAAAATCAAATTATTTCAAAATTATTTCTATTGTGTCCATTTCACCCTGAGTGCTTGGCCTCTCCTTCTCAATTCTGGCGGAGAGCCTGAGAGGCGGCCTTGCAGTTTAAGCAGAGGTTGCACGAGTTTGTTCAACCGGTGCTTCCGAAGAATGAGCCTCAGGAGCTGCAAAAAGTAGACTGTCTTGGGCTCCTTCGAGAGCGGTGAATGGCGGACTGCTTGAGCTTTCCTTCAGATTAGCCAAAGGAGCGGGGGATGCCACTGGTGCTGGTTCTCGGAGAGAGTTGCTGTGGGGATCCCCATAAAGGGGTGCGGCACTTGGCTGCTTCCTTTCCGCAGGTCCTTCCTCCTCGGTGCTGCTGCTCCCTTTGCTCCTCCTGACTCTCCAGCAGCTGCAGAGTTGTTGTCTGGAACAAGTAGAGGGGAGGGGGGATTATTTGCCACAAAAAAGACTGCAGCCCCTGATGAAAGTACAGTGTAATGGCTGGTCTCTAGCCAGGACTCAGGAGACCAGGGTTTGAATCCCTACTCAGCCACACAGGCACAGCTAAGCGACTTTCACTTTGTAGTACCTTAGATACAACCTGTTATTTCTAGAGAGCTGGGCTTCACCCTCTTTGCCGCTCCCATGATTAGTAATATGGGGCTAAATGCCACCCCAATCTCTGACCGGTGCAAGATTCCAGGGGTCCAGGCACTTAGTCTGTGTTTCCTTTGGAAATGAGGCACAGTGTACACTGTGGTGTCATAATGATATCTATCTATCAATACTTTATTGTGGTCCAAAGATCCACAAAACAATTTCTAAACTAGATACAGTTAAAACAACCAGACAGACAGATGGAAGAAACCAAGGCAGTCATTTTGTTTTATCTAGGGCATAATGATCTTTGTTTCTTACAACCTTCAAAAGAAACTTTGCCACGGCCAGTGTAATATCATTTGACCTGTCTTCCAAAAGGTATTTAATATGGGAGGCTTCAGATTTTCCTGGAAAATTTGCCAGTAGGGGATTGATCAGTTGGTCCCTTGTGTGTTCATGCAATCGATGTCTGCAGAACATAAACAAAGCCTATTCTGATAGAGGATGCCTCTCAGCCTGTCATTTAGAACTTCCAAGGGAAATACATTTAGTCTGGCTTTGGTAAATAAATGCCGATAGGTAGGTACAGACAAATTCCTAAGGCATGAGGATATTTGATAGTCATACCCATATTGGATTCCAGCTGTGACCAGGCTACAAATTACATAAGATCGGGATCGCAGGTCCCTATGTGAGATGTCCCAAAGCCTTTGCCTCAGGGATTCAAGGGCAATGTCATAACCCAGATGATATAAGAGGGATGATGGTAGTGGAGCAACACACGTTAATTTGCCCACTTGTCCCTTTCAATCCTCCATTTAAGAATGAAAGAAGACGCATGATCAGAGTTCAAGGGCATCTTCCAGGGAGGCAAAGAACAGTCAAGGGTGCAAAGCTGGGGGGAGGGGTGGCACTGGGAGAATCCTAAGGGTCAGAGAGAGTTTTCCAGGGAGCCACTTCTGGCCTCGGGTGATGACTTTTGCCACCCCTGGGCACTACCTTCTCCAGATTCTCCTTCTGAACATGGAGATCAGCCAGCTCCTCTTCCAGGGCTACCACCTTCTCATCCAACTTCTTCCCAATCAGGTTCTCCTCCTGGTATCTGCTTTTCATGTCGTCAGACAACTTCTCAAGTTCTGTGGAGGTGGGGCACATAGCCAGTGACAGACGAAGCCTGTGCCACAGTGCATGTCCCTGTTTCCATCCACTGCTGTAGCTAAGCCTAAGTACAGTGCCATCTGCACTATATGCTTCAAACACTCACAGCTTCCCACAAGACATTCTGGGAACTGAGAACATTCTGTTAAGGGAGCTGAGAGGTGGTGGGAAACCCCAGTCTGCCACAAACCCCCAGCTACAATTCCCAAACTGTTAAACTATGCTGGAAATGGCTGCTTAAGCAGGGCTCTCCACTTCTACACAACTACAGTGGTACCTCGGGTTAAGTACTTATTTCATTCTGGAGGTCCGTTCTTAACCTGAAACTTAACCTAAGGTACCACTTTACCTAATGGGTCCTCCCGCTGCTGCTGCTGCTGCCACGCCTCCGGAGCACGATTTCTGTTCTCATCCTGAAACAAAATTCTTAACCCGAGGTACTATTTCTGGGTTAGTGGAGTCTGTAATCTGAAGCGTCTGTAACCTGAAGCGTCTGTAACTCGAGGTACCACTGTATTGGCAGCTGAAAAAAATCACACTTCCCAGGATTCCTTGGGAGAAAGCCAGGCCTGACTGCAGTGGCATGATAATGCTGTATAGTGTGGATGGGGCCTCCGTGTAACTTTAAAGACATATCACATGTTTCTTCTCACTCTTACACCGCTCTGCTCTTGCATGCAGGGCAAGGAAGGTGCAGAATATGCACAAACCCATTTTCTATTATGTTACATTATGTTAATGTTACTTATTGTTTGTAAGCTGGAGATTCATTTCAACAAAAAGCAGCATAGAAATACAATCAATCAAGTTTGTAGAGATCAGAAGCTTGCCTTTTTTAAAAAGATGGAATTAAAGTGAAGAGTCTTTTTGGAGATTGTGTGTCTGCTTTTAACAGCTACACTGCAGGAGGCCCTAAGGAGCAGGACCTCCAGAGGTTGCTGGACTCCAACGCCCATCATCCCTGGCTACGCTTCCTGGGGCTCATGAGAGGTGAAGGCCAGTAATACTTTGAGTGCCACAGGCTCCCTACCAGCAAGCTAAAGAATTTCCTAGAATGATAAAACTACTCTGCATGTGCTTGGATCGTGCTCTTCTGCCATTTCAGCGCCTCCTCTCAGCTTCCCTTACCTGCCAGCTGTGCACTGAGTCGGCTGACCTGGGCTTTCTGCCTCTCCAACTCTGTCAGGGCTTCATTCAGTTGGGAATGAAGATTCATCTCCTGCTTCTGATGACGGGCCAGCTCCAGCTGGAGCTGGGTGATCTGCGCTGTGGCTTCCGCTAGCTTCTTGCTGATTCTGACCTGCAACACAAAGGAGCAGAAGAGACAGAAGAACATATGGGGAAGGAGAGCCACAAGACCTTTCCTGGGAGGATGCAAGAGCTGTGTTTTTGGAGGCTCCCAAATGCTAAGAATGAGTCTCCCAGGAAACACCTTGCAGAACTGGTCTACTGGCAAGGCTATGAGGAGCGGGGGGAGGCAGAAGCCTTGGGCTTTTTAGTTAGTTCAGGAGAAAGCATGCACGACAAAGGTGCATAAAATGGAGAGCAGAAAAGATTTCCCCAGAAAATTCAGGACAGACAAAAGAAAGGACATCTTCACACAGCAGAGCTCTCTCCCACAAGATGGAATGAAGGCCACCAAGTTGGATGGCTTTAGCAATGGAGCAGGAAAAGCTATCCACAGTCCGCAGTCACAAGGGCTAGGGTCTCCCTCCACTGTTGGAGACAGCATGCTGTTCCTGGGAATTGCAAGTGATCCAGTGGCGGCATGTGCTAGAGAGAAAAGCGGAGACAAGGAGAGGAGAGTTAACACCACCAGAAGCAAGAACAGCAAGAGGGGAGAAAGTTTTATCAAAAGAGGCAATGGCATTCTGGGTTAAGAGCACTCTGCTTATTCTGTGGTCCAAGGGCTGATTATATCACTCAAAATCCCAGCGGCCTCAGGGTAAGATGCATGGAAGATCCCTTAATGGCGGGGTTTGCATGCAGATGCCCAAGCAAGAACAGGCCACAGCAAACCTGGACTTGCATCCTCTCCCCTTACATCTCCTCCTCTCATGCGCCGAGGAACCCTGACACTTATGCCTAGCCATGGTTTGCTGTGTTCCCTGGTACTACGAGCTGCAGCTAACGCTAACATCAACTATGGTTAATATCAAACACACCAACTTCAAATGTTTGTTTCAATAAGCTAACTTCAGAAACTAATTCTACTTAATATTAATGGCTGTTCTCAGTCCAGACAACAGAGGAAGCAGCAGTTACCTAGAAGTGGAAACTCTCACACCCTTCTTCTTGGCTGCATAGGAGGAAGTGAGGGGGACGTTCACTGTGCTTGCTCACATCATGCCAACCTGAGGTGCTTTTCAAAGGATTACCTGAAGCTTATGAATCTTTTACCTGTATGTGCATGTATACCTAGCCAATCGTTTGTTCTAATTTGTTGCTGCTGCTGCTCAGAAACGTAACTTCTTTCTGGCCTGCAGGCAAAGGGGAATTGTGACCTGCACTAGCGATTGTGAACTCAAGGACGGGATCCTGGGATAGCACTTGCCCTCACCACAGCCTCAGTCACTTGGCCCTCCTGTTGTGGCTGTCACACTGCCAGGGCTTACCTTCTCCTGTTCAGCATGTAGGACCCTTGCCTGGGTGTGCTTCATGGTCCTCTGCAATGAGCTGTTGCTCTGCTCAAATATCAGGTTGCTCTGCTCCACATAGCTGGGGAAGAATTGTTTTTTGCACACGTGAATGTTTGCATGATTTGATACTTTCCATCCTCTCATGTAAAAAAAGAAATCAAGCCAGTATCATACGTAGATCTCACTTTTCAAAAGCCACCCTAGGAGAGCTTCTATCCTTTATATCAGAATCCTAATAGTTCTTATTTTATGTTCCATCTTTCCTCCAAGGAGCTCAAATACTGGTATATAGTTTTCCTCCCTTCTTTATCTTCACAAGCCTGTGAGGTAGGTTAGGCTGGGAGAGAGTGACTGGCCCAAGGTCACCTTCATGGCAGAATGGGGATTGGAACCCTGGTCTCCCAGATCTTACTCTGACAGACCCTCTTAACTGGAACCCCACACTGGCTATATTCCTGTATTCCTCTATTTGTCCATCCAACCCAGTACTGTCCACTTTGACTGACAGGAGCCTTGGGTTGCCTGGGGATTGAGCCAGGCCACCTGAGCTTTAGGCTTCAGCCAGAAATACCAGCTGTTTCTCATAGAGCATTAAAAGTGAGCAAGAGTCTCCCTCACCGTTGGTTGCGGTCAATCAGTTCACCAATCTTCTTGTTCTGCTCCTCAATGTGGCTGCTCTTCTCAACGATCTCCTGTTTCAACCTCTCATTTTCCTGTGGCACAAAGAGCAAAACGGAATGCGTCAGAGTCAGTCCTGGCCTCTACAACTCTCACAATCTCCAGCCACAATCTCTTCCCCAACCTCTCTCGGGGACCCAGATTTGAGGAGAGAAATCGTTGTGGTCTTCCGCCATGGTCATGGACAGAACATGGGCAGGTTGGAGCTGCTCCCCTTTGCAAGCCTCCTAGGTAAACTTTATTTAGTAAGCAAATTGCGAGACAGCTGTACTGCATGAAGCCATGGAAGCAAGATACATGGTAAAAGCAAAATACAACACAGAAATCCAAACTCTGAGAATGAATAAAATCAGTTTCACAAACTCTGATACAATAAGTCCATCTATTCTACTCAACTTTAAAAAACAACACCATTTCAGCAGGTATAAAACTTGATCTTCATAAGTGACATCTCAGGATGGAAAGCCCTCCAAAGCAAGCATGCTTTCAAGAGGCATCTGAACCGCGTCACACTAGGCCCTGGTCTGATTTGGGCTGCAAACTCATTCTGGATGTCTGGAGCTGCAATACTAAAAGCCCAGTTGCTAGTGGAGCCTTAGAGGAACTGGAACAGAGGAAGCTCTCTTAGCTCAAGCCAGATAGTTGCGTGTATCTAGCTCAGTGCAGCCTACAACAGGGGCAAAGAACCTCTGCCAGTCCAAAGGCTGCCTTGCCTCTGGATCAACTGTCCAGGTGTGGGCGGGGCTAGGGACAAAAGTGGGTGGAGCAACAGATGTGGCTATAATACAGGAGACTAGAAGTCTCTGCACCAATTGCTCCACATCCAGGCTAGCAACAAAGACACTTCCAGCTGGCCAAAAGAACTCAAGGAAGGTGCAGAGCAGGAACAGGGAAGGACAGGGCAGCATTTGTGCCCAAGGCTCCCCACTGACTGGCAGCATCTCCTCCAGGGTTTCAGGCACGGGGTCTCTCTCAGCCCTGCCAGGAGACACCATTGGGGACTGTACCCAGGACCTGTTGCCTGCGAATCACATGCTCTGCTGCTTAGCTGTGACCCTTCACCTGAAGGTAAAAGCAAGGTGTTCTAGTCTTCATGCTCTCAAGTAGACAGGCTCTTTACCTGCAGGATACGCTGGATGTTACTCATGATCATAGAGGTTTCCATGGTAACAGAAGAGATGCCTGGCAGCAAACCGGGGCCAGAGTTTTGCTTCCGCAGTTCCTCCAGCTGCAAGGGGTGTGGGGAGAGAAAGGAAAAACAAAAAGGAGGTGCAGCTTGAAGCATCAGCACACGGGAGAGAAGAAGCCAGATCAGGCCTGGGCCCTTTATGCTGCTCACTTGTTTGCCAAGGAGAGAAACTGCTGGGAGCACAGCAACCTGGCTCAGTATCAGACCACTGGCTCCATCTAGCTCAGTGCTGTCAACACTGGCGGGCAGCATCTCCCTGGGTTTTCAGACTGGGGTGTCGCCTAGCTGAAACAGCTTCCCTAGTCCCAAACCTCCCCCCCCCATCAGAGATTAAAAAGACAATTCACAAGCCTATTATAAAAGCAGCTAGATACAGTTCTCCAAACAGTATGAAACAGAAGCAAAACCTGAAGGTAGATTGATTTATTATTTCAGAAAATGTATATACTGCCTGATATATGTATTATACAATGAACATAAAACGCCAAAATTGTTTAAAAGCCTTAAAACAGTTGAACAACGATCAATATCAGGCAGGCACCTTCACTGTACAGGCAACTCCCCATCTGTGGGCGCACCAGTTTTGGCCCTCAGGGGTGCGGGGCAGGCTGACATGCACAGTGCCTCAGAACGCAAACCCCGTGTAAATGGGGAACTGCCTGTACCCTTTTCGGCACATGCTTCTTTAGATCTCTAGAATGCTGATAGGTTTCTAGTTTATCGCTGGTTTTAATTTTTTGAATATTTAAATCGTTTTTACTAATAATTCTATTGTTTTATTCTTTTTGTAAAGTGCTTTGAGTTTTTTTTATGAAATAAAATAATCAACAATACAAAACCAACACCTCAGGGGAGGGAGCTTTTCAGTCCACTGGAAAAGCCTGTTGCAAGAAAAACAACCTTCCTATTGTTTCTGGAAAGTCCTAGCAAGGCAGTTTTTAAGCAGCTTCCTATCCTGAAAGTTCTGTATTACCTTGACTGACAGCTGGTCCATCTTGTCAGCCACCTTCCCAACGGCCAGGCGGATCTCTGTGTTCTGCTGCCGGGTCTCTGTCAGCAGGAATGAACCAATGTCTCCAGCTGCTATGAGAGGAAAGAAAACTTTGCAAGGTTGTGTTTGTTATTGTTGTTTCAAAATGAGACTGCCAGCAGAAGCAAATGCAGTGGTACCTTGGGTTCAGGTTACAGACTCCGCTAACCCAGAAACAGTACCTCGGGTTAAGAACTTTGCTTCAGGATGAGAACAGAAATTGCGCAGCAGCAGCGTGGCAGCAGCGGGAGGCCGCATTAAGCTAAAGTGGTGTTTCAGGTTAAGAACAGTTTCAGGTTAAGAACGGACCTCCAGAACGAATTAAGTACTTAACCAGAGGTACCACTGTAGAAGTGGACAGGGCGGGAAGAGAGGGGTCACACCAATAAGAAAGGGCAGGGAGAAAAGAACACAGTTGTCCTTGAGCATCTTAACAAGCAGCCGTGAATCTTCTAGGGTGGGGGACTTTAAGGCAACTTAGCCGCCTATTCCCAGCTTTTAAACGGCTGGAATAAGGCAAAAGGAAATGCTTCTTCACACAGTGCAGACTTCGTGAGGCAGTGATGACCACCAACTTGGATGGCTTTAAAAGAGGATTGGACAAATTCATGGAGGAGGAGAAGGCTATTGATGGCAACTAGCCATGATGTCCATGTTCTGACTTCACAATTGAGGGCAATAAATGCTTCTGAATACCAGCTGCTGAAAAGCAGAGGAAGGGAAAGGTGCTCAGATCCTGCTTGTAGGTTTCCCACAGGCATTTGATTGGCCACTGTAAGAAGAAAATGCTGGACTACATGGGTCACTGGCCTGATCCAGTAGGCTGTGATGCTCTGAACGGGGGAATTTCTAACTTTCACTGAGTTAATGCTCAACAGGTAGGATTTCATTTCCTGGGCTACAGAGGTAGATGCTCAACATTCACTATCCGTACCAGTTTGGGAAATATGGGTGTCTTAATTAGTACTGGTGTGTCACCGTTTCTTTCTCTTATTATTTATTGTTTGCTTTCTTCATATATGGCAAGCCTGCTACCAGACTTTTGGGTTGTCAACAATGTTAATAAAGGGTTTTGCTTTTTTAAAAAAGTTAATGTTTGAAAGCAGCTCCCAAAGCTACATAGTGCACAGTTTGAACATACCTTGGAAAGGAGCTGGGCACAACCCAACAGGCTGGAGCTGGGAAACTGCGGCACTCACTTGTGGGTAAGCATATGGCATCCCTGCATAAGGCTGAGAACACAGGTGGGGAGGGAAAGGAGAGTCAGGTGACTTGTCACACTGACCAAACAGACGGCAAAAAGGTCCCCCATTAAAACAGCAGGATTGCTTAAGCCTGCTCTCAAGGGCTAGATGACCCAAAGGCCAAGGACTGCAAGGGATCTTCTCCTGCAAAAGGCAATGATGGACAACCATTTGGACAGCTTTAAAAGAGGATTGGGCAGATCCATGGGGGAGGCGCCTATTGATGGCTACTGGCCTCGACAGCTAATGGCTGGAAGAAAGAATGCTTCTGAATGCCAGTTGCTGGAAACTGGGGGAGGGGAAAGAGCTCTTGCACGCAGGCACTGTTTGTGCACTTTGCACTGGGGCATCCAGGTAGCCACTGAGAACAGGTGCCCCATGTGAACAGGATGCTGGCCAAGATAGGCCGTTGGCCTGATCCAGCAGAGGTTCTTCTTACATTCTTCTAAAGATCATATAATATATAGAAGATCCCCGCTGGATTTGGTGGAAACTACCTCTGCTGAGGTAACAAATTGCTTCCCTCCAACCCAAGGCTATTAATACTGCCAGTTCTTAATCTAGCGCTTTTGGGATTTGCACCGAAGGGCTATTACCTTCATGGTTATGCTTCACCCTCCCTATTTTGCAAATGAAGACCTGACACTGACAGAAAAGGATGAGGAAACTTAGTCAAGCCTGCTAGTCACATGCCCCTGTCTTGAGCAAACCAGGGGACAGAGCATGATGTTGTGCCTCACTTGGCAGCCTATTAAAGAACCTTTCCCTGCCTACAAAAGACTCCTTACCTGACAGTTTTGAGGGGTTCTTGGAAGGGGTGGGTGTGGTTGGGGGGCAGCAGGCACCAGGAGCCCCGAGACAGCTGGATGAGGAGCTAGGAAGAAAGCAGAGGCATCAGCGTTGCCCATCTCAATACAAGCAGTCCATCATCATCATCATCATCATCATCATCATCATCATCATCATCAAAATGTTTGTCTCTATTTCCACCCAAAGGAACCCAGAAGAGTAAGCACACAAACAGATCAATTCAAGCATCTAAACACAATGCCAGTGACAGATGCAGACTCTGCTCAAGCTGATCTCCAGCAAATGAAGGACACTGCTCCCCCATCCCCACACATCCAGATTTCCTCCGCTTTCCATGCACAATCATCATGCTGGCTTCTGGGTTGTGTCCAACTAAATTCTACTGAGTAGAGCCACTGCACTCAAGAAGAACCCTGCCAGATCAGGCCAGTGGCCCATCTAATCTGGCACCCTCTTCTCACAGTGACCAACCAGGTGCCCCCATGGGAAGCCTGCAAACAGCCCTCTCCCCTCCTGCGGTTTCCAGCCACTGGCATTCAGAAGCATTCTTTCCTCCAGCCGTGGAGGGAGGGCGCAGCCACAGTGCCAGTGGCCATTGACAGCCCTCTCCTCCATGAACTTGCTTAACCCTCTTTTGAAGCCACCCAAGTTGGTGACCATCACCAAGGCACAACAAGGGAACACACTTTTTACCTTGCATTGCCCACTGAAGAGGGGCCATTGGACGGTAGTCGTTCGGACAGAAGGTTGAAAATTCTTGAATGGCATGCGGCTCCTGAAGAAGACAATGCACAATTAACCCTCCTGGGAAGTGGAAAGGGACCCTGGAGGCTTCAAATCCCACATTAACGAGAGAGAGGCATGCCAGAACATTTGTAGCTATGGGTTTTTTTAATATGTTGTAAGCCGCTTTGAGCATTGTTTTAACTTGGGAAAGGCGACATACAAACAAAATGATTGATGATCCTTACAAGGCTTTCCCTCAAATTAAGATTCAGACCCAAAACCAGTTTGGGGTGAATACTAGATCTAGGGAGGGCAAGACACACAGTTTCATGCAAAAGGCCCCAGGTTTGATACCCGGTAGGCAGGGAATGCCCCCTATCTGAAACCCTGGAGAAGCAGGTAATTAACTAAAAAAAGGGCCCTCCCCTCCTTCACTGCCAATCAGTGTAGACAGTAGGGAGCTAGGTGGATGAGCAGTCTCACTTGGTATAAGGCAGCTTGCTATGTTCCTCAACAGGAACTGTGACACACCGTATTTTTCCGTGTATAAGACTAGGCTTTTTCTCTTAAAAAGAATGTAAAAAATCAGGGGGGGTCTTATACACGGATACATTTCCTCCCATTTTCTTAAATCTAAGTCCTAAAAAATAGGGGGCGTCTTATAGACCGAAAAATACAGTAACTTTATTATGTGGGAGCTTTTGAGTTTCTCAAAAAATGCTCACCAATAAGGATCCCTCTCTCTATGAGAGGACCAAGTTACTTCTCATTGCTTTGGTCACATTCAACAGGAACTATACAATCAATAGGAAGATTTGGCTCCAATGGGGACTTACCGCTAGCTGTTTGCTAATAGAGCTTGATTTGGCACGCACAGCTGGCTCCCTGCAGTATGGAAGGAAGGGAGTTAACAAACCTGAGCATAGTAGGAAGAGTCTATTAAGGGGTAGGATACTCAAACTGGCCTTTGGGACTCTGCCTCGGCCAAGCCCCTCACCAACCCCACCTCATGACCTCCCCAAGGGAGCTATAGCCTGGCTGGAATGTGTCCTTGAACTGTGACAGTGCACCTTGCTTCCCTGGACAGGGAGAGGTGTGTGCAGAAAGAAGCCCCACATGGTGTATTTTCTGGCTGCACAGAAGGCAGGAGCAGCATCTGTTGCTCTGTCCACTGGAGCCCCAGCCCAGCCCTGGAATGTGGCCCCTGCCAGGTTCTTTGGAGGAAGCCACAGCTGTTGAAAATGGCATGGCGCTATTTGGAATATATGATTTATTGTGATTTATTGAATTTGTATACCGGACTTCATCCACCCAAGGTGGTACAGTGCAGATGGGGTCTGAGTTATGCAGCTGAGGTGAAGGCCAAAAGCCTCAAACACAGAGGTGGCAACCTAATTACTGCAGAGTTAGGATGTGACACCTGGGAGAATGGAAGGCTTAAAAGCTAAGGGCACCCTCAATTTATTTCTCACCCTGGCTTTGGAGCGGGAGTAGGAGGAGTCAGCCATGCTGGGTCTGTAGCGGGGCTTCCTGATTGTGGTGCTGGTGAAGGTGTGAGGGAGTCCCTGGGGCCCAGGTTCTGTCCGGCGGAGTCAGCGCCCTTTGCAAACCTCACCTAAGGGAGCAAAAGAGGGGCATCATGGAGTCTGGTCAAGGCAACCACTGTCTCCATTTGTAGAACCTTATCCAGGCCATAGACCGACCACCCAACAACCTTCCGAGGTTCTCTTGGTCGCTAACATGTTGGGAGGCAGACACACTCACCCGTTTGACTTCCACCTCAAAGGCCAGAGTTGAGTCCGGAGGAATGCGTTCAGCTTCTGCCAAAGGCCCGTAAGCCAATGCTGGCGGGACAAGGAGGAACCGCCTGCCTCCTCTCTTCATGCCAATCATTCCATCTTCCCAGCCCTTCAAGTTCCAGAAACGGAGAACCAAGCAGAAAACAAGTTTGGGTGACCGCCTTCGCTAAGTGCCAGAACCACACAGCCTTCGCCAACTTGATATCGTCCAGACACCTTGGACTCCAACCCAATCAGTAGGCGCTGGCTGGGGCTGATGGGAGTTGGAGTCCACAGGATCTGTGTGTGTGTTTGTCAGGTTGGTAAAGGCTGGTCGAGAGCAGGGCACAGGAATACTGACAGTTCTCTTGCAGTCATGAGGAACGAACTGTAGTTTAAAGCAGGGATGAAAACCATTCCCTCTGGGGCAACCTTCTTGGTGGGGAGGAGCATGCCAGGAGTGGGCGGGGCTAGAGGGGAAAGTGGGAGGGGCAACAAATGTAATTTTTACCTTTGTGCAATAGGCTACTTTAGAAACCAACTCACACTCCCCCCTCTGTCTCTCATCCAGGACAGCAAGAGGCAACATTGGAGGTCCAGGACTGTTTTGGTCCAGGCCACAGAGCAGGCTTGGCAAGGGGCATGGCCTGGGGTGAATCCTGAGGGCCAGTTTCAGTCCCTGCTGGGCCTGAGATTCCCCACCCTCCTGTAAAGAAAGGGCAAGCCTGACTGACCAGTAGGGCAGGATCAGGAATTTTGCAGGGATCAAGGGACCCTGTTTGGGCCTCCCACTCCAGCAGATCATGGCAGGCGTAAGACAAGCTAGGACAGCTACCTGCCTGCCGTTCTTGAGGAAGCCATTTGATCAGGGTTTGAGCTCAAAAAACATCACTGCTATTTAGCCTTCCACATAGCCTGGGCTGCTGAACTCTGCTTAGATGTGGAAGTGGAAGAAAGAATCCTTTCAGTGCGGTGGGAAGAGTAGCGCCATCTTACCTTGATGACTTTGCCAGAGCCTAGCTTCAGACGTAGTAATTTCTCTTTATTTATATTTGAGTCGAAAACCTGTTCCAAAAGTGGAAGGTCGATGGGGTGAAATTACTTTTAACGCGAAAGGTAATAGGTTCACGTTCCGCTACTCCCACTGCTGAGCCAAGAGCAATGAGTATTAAAGGACGGGGCACAGCTCAGGGACACAGCACCTGTTTTGCAGGCAGAAGGTTCCAGGTTCAACCCTGGCATCTCCAAGTAAGGTCAGGGAAAGGCTTTGCTTGGAAGCCTGGAGAGCTATTGCCAGTCAATGTGGGCGATGCCAACCTAGACCGGTGGCCTGATGCAGTGCAAGGCAGCTTTCCATGTTGAATCCCTACCTAGCGGTGCCTCCTATGTTGCAGATTGGGTAAAATGAGGTTAAGAAATAGGATCTAGTCCTTGGAGACAGGTGAAGCTCAGGGCCTAAGAGCATGTGCTTCCCAGGAAGAAGGTCCTGGGTTCCCTCCCCAGCATCCCCAGTTGAGAAAGGGCAGCAAGGCTGGGCAAGGCCCCACCTCTGGAGAGCAACCAATGCAAGCCCCATGGAAAAGCACTGGCTAGAGCTCATTGGGGTTGGGGTCAAATGCACATTGAGCTGTGAAGCAAGCTGGGTGAGTCTCATCAAGTCCCTCTCCTGTTTCAGGAGGAATTTCCTTGCAATGTTATTGAAAGGCAAAAAGACAGGGTTGTGGGAGAAAAGGGCTGTATGCAATCTATAAACCAGGAGTGGGAAAGCTGTGGCCATGCAGTGCTGCTAGAGACTTCAACCCCCATCATCCCCAGACACCCCCTCTGCCAGGTCTCACCTGCCCAAGACTACCGTTCTGGAACAGCCAGCCTGTAAAAGTGATCTCCAGGACATCTCCAGTCGCCACACCTTGGCCGTCTCCGAGAACAAGATCCTGGCACAGCACTGAGTCAGGAGAACGGCTGCTGTTATACTTGGCAATGCACAGCTGCAAAGAGGAAGAACCAAGCCATTTGTGTCATTAGCTACCATTGTCATCCGCACCTATGCAATCTGGCCCAACGCAGCACTGGCTGAAGACCCCAGGGGCCTGAAAAGGCCCCAACTGGCTACACCACCATTCCTTGCCCTCCCTGGATGCTTCTTAGTGGTTGGCAGAGAAAGCATCTGGCGACTGATGCAAGAGAGCTGAGCTCCCGCGAACACTAGTTCAGTGTCTGCAGGAGAGCCACCCCCCACCCCACAATGCAGTGCACGCCTCTGGCACCTGCTTGCTGAAGTCCACAGCTGCCATTTCTGATTCAAACATGATGGACCAAATCTGCCTCTGATCATCATAAAATGTGCAGTAGTTGTTGGGCTGCACCTGCGGAAAGAGAAAGGAGAAAGTGGAATTCTGAGCAGCAGACAGCCTCTTCTCAAAACAACTTTCTTAATGATGGGTCTTGCTAAAGACTTTGGGTTGTGTCCCAATATTAGCCCTACTCAGAGCAGATCCATGAAAATTGATGGACATGATGAACTTTGGTGCATTAATTTCAGTGAGTCTACTCTGAGCACACACACACAAACATCAACGTCTGTAGTGTGTCATGTTTAGAAATGGAAAAATGCTATAGGATTTCGGGGTGGAGGGCTACCCCAAGGGATGTAAGCTACAGTAGGACAGAGGGCAGAATGTCATCTACTTTACTTTGTTACCTCTAGGTAAGCGTTTTAACCATAGAGGGGGCCCTTGGATCTAACACTACTCAAATCTAATGGGTTGCAACAAGCATTAGCCCTACTGAAAGCAGACCCACTGAAATTTATTGACCACAGCTGAGACCTCATATGTAATGTGCATTTCAAACCACCAAAGAATTCTGCTTAGCTTCAGCCTATGCCATGGTCCTTGCAGGTCTTAACGTCAAAGCCTACCGTGAATACAAACCAGGCATGGATGCTGGCGGTCGCAATCTGCTGCAGCTGCTGACCTTCTGGATGCACAATACCTGGCTTATGCCGAGTGATTTCTATTACTACATGAGAGATCTCAAGGCAGCCCCACAGGGTTCCTAGAAGGTCTGCTGTCCAGGAGCCAACCAGCTCCACACCTCCTTAGCTTCAGCAAGATGTGTTGCATTGTGTAACCTCAGCCTATGCCATGGTCCTTGCAGGTCTTAACACCAAAGCTTACCGTGAATACAAACCATGCATCAATCCTGGCGGTCGCAATCTGCTGCTGCTTGCTGATGTAAAGAAGCACTCTGTACTGGATTCCACAAGAGATAGATGGACAGAAGAAAACAGGAGCAAAAGTGAGGAATCAAAAACTATGGGGCTGGCTGTTTTCAAAAGCACCTGGAGCTCTTCTTATACCAGGTAGCATTTCCACAGCACCCCAACACCCAAATGACACATTAACATACAAATACATCAGAGGTGTTCATCATAGGAATTGCTTTGGTTGCAGGTGCCTGGCTTAATTACATGTGGAATGACTTCGTTACAATGGAGCAGGCGTGGGGAGCCTTTGGTGCTGAGCTACAACACCCATTGGCTCTTGCCAGCATGGCCAGTGGAGAGGGGTGATGGGAGCTGTCGTTCAGCGACATCTGGAGGACCAAAGGCTCCCTACACCTGCAGAAACCAAGGGGTGAGATCTGTTCTTTTCTGCCCAATTAGCAAAACGAGAATGACAGCCCAGTGTTTTATCCTGTCCCCACCACCCTCACCTGCAACGGCACAGTAGGACAAGGCAATCATACCAGAGTCTTTCTGGAATAAATGCATATGTTTCCTGACATATTTTATCTGTTTATTGTAAAACACCTGTGAATCCTTTCATAGCAAAGTGGGGCAGAACAAACCACTGAAAAGCTGGCTGACTGGGCTGAAAAGGACAGAGGCTGGAAAAACTGAATCCCTTTTCCAACATAAGCTGCTGAAACCCCCTTTCTTTTTTGAGTGTGGTGGGAACATTTATTGGTTTTTCAAGCCACGACAAAGTTACTGTCTCACCTCCCTCTATCCACTCCGCACACAATACCCCCTAGGCCCTTCTTTTGTCAAGATTCTAGTCCACGTGGTTCTAGTTAAATAAGAGCACAGGGCCTTGGACTGAATCAAACCACTAGTCTCCCTAGCTCAGGACTGCCTACTCTGACCGGCAGCAGTGTCCCCAGCCCTACCCAGAGGAGCTAGTGATAGGATTTGGGAGCTTTTAGCAGCAATGTTATAAAGGTGTATGTAAAAATGGATTGTTAATAGGTGAGAATCCAAAGTTATAATATATTAAGTTAAAGGATTAAGATAAAAACAAAGAGGGAAAGGAATTGCTGAATTAACCAATTGAACTGGAATACAAAAAAGGGAGGTGAGAGGAGGTCAGGGAAGCAAGGAAATGAAATGTAAGGTACGGAAAGATTGATTTGTTTTTAAGTGTTATTTATTTATTTTTTTCTGTATTTTGTATTTTTTCTCTTTTTTATTTTTTCTCTTGTTTCTTTTCTTTTTATCTATGTAATCTTTTGTTTCTGAAACTTTAATAAATATCATTTAAAAAAAAAATTGGATTTGGGAGCTTAAGTCTGCAAAGTGGATGCTGTGTTACTGAGCAACAGCCCCTTCCCTGCTACGAATACTTTTTGTAGAGAAGTTAGGTCAGAATAAGAAAAATGGGAGCTATAACCCTTGTGAGCTGATTGGGCAGAAAGAGACAGGAGCCAAAACAGCACCTTTGCTTTTTCCAGAGTAAGACACCATCGGGAAACCAGGATTCAGAGAAAGGGAAGCATTTCCTTAGCCCAACCTACATCAACCCGGTATCCTCCAAATGTTTAGAACCAACAGCAGCTATAGCCCCAAACATCTGGAGCACAGGAGGTTGACAGAAGGCCAGGCTACTTCAAGACACCACACCTCCTCCTCTTACCTCCTTGGTTGCATTGCTGCCCACTACAGCTGCTCTATACTTGCCATGTTTCACATATTTCCCATTGGTACTGGAATGAGAAGAGAACACCTCTTAGCTTCCCACAATTGTTGCCACCATGCCAACCCCATGGGTTATATTAAGCGGCTCTTTACAAAGACTTCCCAGGGGTTGTTTGACTCCCATCAGCCCAGGCCATCTGGCCAGCGGCGAGGGGTGATGTTGGGGGTGAGCGGTAGCACCCCAGCAACAGTTTATCAGCCCACAAGCTCCCCATCCCAGGAGGTCTCTATCCTCATTTCAGTTCAGTGTTGGCTGGTGCCTCATTGGGATGAATGCAGGGAGCCCAACTCTAGGTGGCACCAGAGCCCACGACAAGAAGGGCCAGCTAAGCCTAGGGCTGTCCCCATCCTCCTCCTTGCTGTGTTCTACCATGGCAGCATAGAGACTGAGGGGGGAGAGGAAGCTGACAGGAAGTCCTGCCCTCTGGATCGGTTGGACGTAAGAAGGCAGGCAGGTGGGAGCCAGCTGAGGGCAGAATGAGGGGTACCTTCCTACTGGACCTGCTTTCACTGGTGTAGCATAAGGCAAGGAAATCAACAGCACATCGAGCCAGAGTCAATGATATCCACAGCCTGATTGGCTGGAAGTAAAAAAACAACAACAGGCAGGTGGGGGCAGGCTGAGGTTGAGTTGGCAGTGCCCCATTCGCCCTAATCAACCACCCCCCACTGTTGTTCAGTTCCACCTCTTTCCGAAGAAGCCAGGCAAGATGGAGAGATGATTGCAAAAGATGTGAGCACAGGATTTGGGTAGCAAGAACACACTGCAGCTCATCCCCCCTACTGTAGTACTCACAACAAATATGCATGAACAACTGTAGCGAAGAAAACTGAATGCACTGCTGCAGTGGACGCAGGAGCAGCTGCGGCTGCAGGAGCAGCTGCAGGAGGATGCTTCTGGGTAGACAGACCTGCAGCTGGAGCAGCACATGAGAAGGGTAAGTGCTCTGTTGCAAACAGAACATTGCTTGCAAACATCAGGCCAAGTTAGCGACCTTGTCTGAGCCAGTTGCTCAGATTAATGGAAAACAGGAAGTTGACTTTTTTTTTCTTTTAATACTTTTATCTTGCTTTAAACAAATACAGATAAATATAAACAACCAAAATTACAAAAGAAAAATTATTAATAACAATAATGGAAAAAGCTAAAAAACTACAAAAAATATCAAAGTACATGGCATAGAACATAAGCCATTATGGGGAAGAAAAAAAAAGAGGAAAGGAGGAGGAGGGAAAAGAAAAAAGTGGGGGGAAAGGGGAGGGGAAATGAGCCAAAACACAAGAAGGCTCATCCATTGTACGCTTCCGTCAAGATCACAACAGATCATTATTCTTATCAATTCTCTCTATCTGCATTCCATAGAATCCCTCATCTTGGTATCAGGGAACATCTCCCTATGTGGTATCATTCTAAACATAACCAGGTCTTTATTGATGTACCCTTATCCCCTAGATAATTATTTAAACATTCCCATTCTTCTTTCACCATGTTTTTAGGTTTATCTCTTATTGCATCTGTCAGCTTCACGAGCTCCAAGTACTCGCACGATTTGACTACCCATTCATCTTTAGTGGGTGTATTTTTATCTTTCCAGTGTTTTGCCACTATAACCCTTGCTGCTGACATTGCATACATAAATAACCTGGTTTTGTTTTTAGGAATATTATCTGAAACCATTCCTAGTAAAAATTCTTCCGGATTATTGCTAAATGTAGTTTTTATCAATCTCTTTATCTCTTCATAAATCATATTCCAAAATCTTTATATCTCTAGACAGGACCACCACATATAGTAATATGTTCCTAACTGTTCTTTACATCTCCTGCACCTGTTATTATATGATTTATTTATTATTGCTAGTTTTACGGGGGGTCAAGTACCATCTATAGTACATTTTCATAAGATTTTCCCTTATAAGGAAGCAAGCCATGATTTTTTAGTCCATTATTCATTCCAAATACTGGGTTTGATCATATGTCCCAGGTCCCTCTCCCATTTTACTGTAATTTCTTTGATATCCTCCTCCTTTCTTTGCCAATTCAAAAATAGTTTGGCGGCTTTTAGTTGATAATATTCCAGCCAGGTTATTCCCTTCTGTTTCAGTTCTCTTAGGTCCTTTATTTTCGGGTTGCTACTTATTTCCTCTACTAAATCCTTGTATGTTAACCAATCACTGGTTAAAAAATTCATATTTTTCCTATGAACTGTCATAGATTCCATTGGTGACAGCCACCATGGTGTTTTGGTCACTACTGATTTTTTACTTCTCTCCCATACTTCATATAATGCCCTTCTCACAATATGATTTCAGAACAGGAAGTTGCCTTGTATGGCGTCAAACCACTGGGTCCATCTACCTCAGTGTGGTGAATACAGACCACCAGCACCTTTCTGGGGCCCCAGGTCAGGGTCTCTCCCCAGCACTACTCAGGAGTTGACCAACCCAGTTGATTCTGTGGGGCTTCAGAACCAAAGGTTGGACTAGATGGTCCACAAGGGCTTGTCTTATGTTCCTAGGCATTGTGAACAGTTTACTTACCAGTAGCTAGTTGACCTTTTTAGGCTGCTTGGGTGACATGTATTGGAAGAGCACATTTCCAGATTCTGTAGTTGTCTGATCCTGTCCAAAGAGAGAGGCCAGCCTGGTCCTGGGCAGAGAGAAAAGTAACCATTCACTTCATTCACAGAGAGAGGCAAGCGGGTGGGAACAAGACATGTATCTGCAAGCACACAGATGCTCATGTTTCACTGCAGGTTGGCGATTTTGTTGCAGCCTTCCCCAAAGACCAGAGAGTAATGGATTCAAAAACTAGAATCCTGTCAGTGATTAGGATGCTGGCCACATGACCCGGAACCTGTACGCCGGCTCCCTCGGCCAATAAAGCGAGATGAGCGCCGCAACCCCAGAGTCGGTCACGACTGGACCTAATGGTCAGGGGCCCCTTTACCCTTTACCTAAAGGAGTAGACACATTGTGAGTCTTCTCTAAGCAGAACTTAGTTGGAGACAATCCCTTCCTTTTCCTATTAGTTTCTATAACCTCTCTTAAGAACAAAAGAAAAGCCTGCAGGATCTGGCCAAAGGCCCAGCAAGTCCAGCATTCTGTTCTTACAGTAGCCAACAGAACCCAAGCACAAGAGGCCTCTACCCTAAAGTGGCTTCCAGCAACAGTTGTTCAGAAGCCCTGCTGCCACCAACTTGGTGAGCACAGCCACGGTGACTAAACATCGCTAGCCTTCTCCTCCCTGAATTTTTCTAATCCTCTTTTAAAGTCACCCAAGTTGGTGGCCATTCCTGCCTCCTGCGGGAGAGTTCTGTAGTTTAACTGTGCATGATGTGAGAAAGTACTTTCTTTTGCTTTTCCTGAAGGTCTTCCAACGTTCAGCTTCATCGGATGTTCACAAGAGGGAGAGAAACTGTTCCCTATCCACTTTCTCCATGCCATGCCTAATTTGATAAACTTCTATCATATTATCTCTTACTTGCTTTCTGTCTAAACTACAAAGTCCCTAAAACTGAAAAGGCCGTTGCCCAATTATTGCACCCAAGCTTTTACAGAACCTAGTACAGTGGTACCTTGGTTTTTGAACAGCTTAGTTCACGAACTACTTGGAACCCGAACGCTTCAAACCCGGAAATGAGTGTTCAGGTTTTCAAACTTTTTTTGGAATCTGAACGTACTTCATTGGGGGGGTGCACTTTTGTTTTAAGTGCCACACTTCCGTTGCCTGCTTGCTTGCTGCCTGACCTTGGCTTCCCTTATTCAGCGCTGGCCGCGCCGGCCACTGGCAACACCCGAAAGCAGAGGAGGGGGTGGCTGATGCTGCAAGAACAGTGGTGTCAGAGGGACCCAGAGGGTGGCAGCGACACGCCCTGCCTGCTCGGCACGGCCTTCCCTCAGTTGATGCCGGCAGTGAAATCTGGAAGCAGAGAAGGGTGTTGTTGATGATGTAGCGACTTCGCCTTCTCTGCTTTCGCTGCCACCGATTCAGGCCCAGAAGTGGCTGCCGTGACAGGATGCTGGTGCCACCACTGCAGTAAGAGTTCTTCACACACCCAAGTGGCGGGGTGGGTGGGTGGGTGGAGGGATCCAGAAAGGCTGGCATGGGGGGAGGGAGAGAAGCCAACTGGCTCCTCAGAGAGATGAATTTTGCCTTCCTTTCCATCCCTCCCGCCCCCCGCCACTAGAACTCTCCATCATACACCCCGTGCACTCATCCCTCCAATGGCAATGGGTAAATCACTGCCAGTTTTTAATACTGGGTAGCAGATAGCAGCCTGGTCTATTGCTTTTATTTTATGGCTCAATAGTCTAATTAGATAGTCATTTTCATGCTAAATTGCTATTCTGGGAGTTGTTTTTAATTGTCTGGAATGGATTAATCCATTTTGCGTTACTTTCTATCGGAAAGTACGCCTTGGTTTTGGAATGCTTTGGTTTTGGAACAGATGTCCAGAAGACACTGTAAACAAAACAAAAATTTAAAAGGTATCCATTACAGTGGTACCTCGGCTTAAGTACTTAATTTGTTGAAGAGGTCCGTTCTTAACCTGAAACTGTTCTTAACCTGAAGCACCACTTTAGCTAATGGGGCCGCCTGCTGCCGCTGCGCCACCGGAGCACAATTTCTGTTCTCAATCTGAGGTACTATTTCTGGGTTAGTGGAGTCTGTAACCTGAAGCATATGTAACCCAAGGTACTATTGTGTTGCAAAGATACAAGCCCTGCCCTTGCGGTTTACCTTTCCCCACATACGGAGATTCACTGCCAGGAAGGTGGGGAGAGGGAATAAACCTGGCTGAACACAAGTGGTTTTCCCTACAGACATTCAGAAGTACAGTATCTCATCTCAGGGTTGTTCTGGAAGCAGAAACTTACCAGTTACCACACATCCTAGCCCAGGTCCCCGCACTCCTGAGAGCTAGAAACTTGCAGATTAAAACAAACAAACAAAGAAACAAAGAAACAACATACACATCCTAAGGCCAAGTATCTTCAAACATTAAATCTCCAGCCTTAGACCCAAACTCCATGCTATACTGAACACCAAGCAAAAATATCCAAGGGGTGAAGTGCCCATTTTAAATGCCTGACAGCACCCCAAACAGCTAGAGAAAAACCACAAGTGGCAACATGCATGTTTGAGGGGCTCCCAAAAGAAGCGAGCGGAACAGAGATTGTGAGCTTGGCTTCCCCTTCTGGGGAGAGTGACATTCTGGGAAGACATAGGTCAGGGGGCAGCAAACGTTTTGAGCAGGGGGGCAGTCCACTGTCCCTCAGACCTTGGGGAGGCCAGACTATATTTTGAATATGGGGGGGCACCTGCAGTTCTCCATAAATTTCTCAACTCCAAAAACTACAACTCCCACTGGCTATATGTCACTCTGACCTTTGCTCACTGCTAGTGTTGCCAAAAGCAGCAGTGCAGTGCCCTTATTTTGAACACCTAAAATGTCACAGTGTAAAGGGCACTAGAAATTTTTCTTAGGGTTCCTTTTGTAGAAGAAATCTAAGACCACAAAACACCTCCATTCAGTCCTGTTACAGGTAACCCACTTTAGGGCAGGAGTTAGAATGCCAAATTGTGACCTGGGAGATCAGGGTGTAGACCCTCACTTGGAGATGAAGCTCACTTTGTGACTCTCTCTCAGAAAGCTAGAATTAGGAAAAGGGAAAATATTTCACCACAGCACAGGCAACAGGCATTTGTTTGCAAATCAATCCTATGTACATTCAAGGGGAAGGTCAGTTGAATTCAGTGGAGTCTACTCCCCAATAAGTTTTGCTTTTTAAGAAAAATGCTCCTTTCCCCATTAACCCTTGGGCTGAACTTCCTAATTCCCAACCACTACTAAAACATAATGTATTCCCTCACTGTACAAAAGGTGTGGGGTATGTTTGGCCCTCTGGATTGTAGCGCAAGTGCATTCCCATCATCAGTGGTGTAGCAGTCTGGGGGTTGCGGAGGTTACTATTTCTGCAGCAGGGTCCCTGCCTCCCGCACCCAATCATCATGAGAGGCGAACTTTTTAGCCACTGCATGCTCCAAAGCTAAGCATGTAAGAAACAGTGAAAACACAAGGCACTTCGGTTTCAGCTCAGAGTAGGTCCACTGAAATGGGCGGGCATAACCAACGCATAGCTTAGTCGGATGCAAGAAAGTGCCTCCCATTTCATCCTTAGCTGGACGAAACCCCGCCCATTTCATCCTCACCAGCAACGCTGTGAGGCAGAGAGAGAGCGAAAGAGAGAGAGAGAGAGAGAGAGAGAGAGAGAGAGAAGGAACCTTGCTGGCTCAAAGACGCCTAGCTCTGCGGAACTTCGCCTCTCTCTCAGCGACTAACAGCACGTAATTGCAGACAAAGCCCTTTGCATGTGCTCGGAATCACCCTTCGCAAGCCTGCACCCCCCACCCCAGCCCCACATACAGCTCTAGTCCTACATGCTGCCCCAGCCCCACATACAGCCCCAGAACCACATGCAGCCGCAGCCCCACATGCTGCCCCAGCCCCACATACAGCTCTAGTCCCCTCACACAGCCCCGCCCCCTCACGCGGACCCAAAGACACTCGCACACCCCGCATCTCCCCCCACGCAGAGAGGCGCCGCATTCTCACCCTCCCGTCGGAAGCTGGAAGGCCTCGTCTTCTTCATCCATGTCCCCCAACATCCTGACGGCCCCTCGCTCCCCGCGCCCCTCGGCTAAGCCCAAGCCGGGAGGCGAGAGCCGCAAAGTGCGCGGCTGCAACTTCTCGGCCATGGCGCAAGCGCTGGGCTGCGGAAGCGAAGCTAGCAAGCCAAAGCGGCCGGCGGCATTCGCGGTCCCCAAACGGGCCAAACTTGCACGCGGAGGGAAGAAACGCGTCCAGGGCAACACGAGCAATCAGCTGCCGCCGCAGCCGCGAATTTGGCGGCGGGACTCTTAAGTTTGACGGAAAGGGAGAGGGACACGGCTGGACCAATGGGAAGCTGGATTCTGGGAGAGGGAGGCGGGAGGGCGGGTGACGCTCGCTCGAGGCTGGCCAATGAGGTGGCGCCTCCGCTCGCCGGGCGAAGAAGGCACGCGCCTGAGGAGATCGAGGGAAGGAGGCGAAGGCGAGGAAGGCGCAGGTAGCTAACTTCCGATTCTTCTCATTGTGCTATTTACACTTTGTCTGGCAAAACACATTGCTTTCTTCTTATTTAGCGTTCTCGTTAATATCCATAAACTTTTACTATGTACATTCTCGATATTCCAAGATTCATTCTAGGTCTGTCAGGAGATTAACGTCGTCACTAATTTTTAAGATCTTCCTTAAATGTTATCCGATCTTGATTAACTTTTGGTATTGAATTTCCTCTTATTCTCCCTGTTGTCCTGGCAAGTTGTAGATCTTCTATCATTTTTGCTTGCCAGTCCGTTTTTGTGGGGATGGTATTACTGTTATAGAACATATAACATCACCTTTCCACTTCCTTGCTATTAAAATCCTGGCTGCTGTGGTTTCATACATAAAGAGGGGTCTGTGGTTTTTCTTAATTTCCATGGACATAATACCTAACAGGAAGGCTTCAGGGGTTTTTTGGAAACGAAAGTTTGAAGATCTTTTAAACTTTAGAGTAAAGAGTAAAGAGCCAGTGTGGTGTAGTGGTTAAGAGCAGTGGACTCCTTATCTGGTGAACCAGGTTCGCTTCCCCGCTCCTCCACATGCAGCTGTTGGGTCACCTTGGGCTAGTCACACTTCTGTGAAGTCTCTCAGCCTCACTCACCTCACAGAGTGTTTGTTGTGGGGGAGTGGAAGAGGAAGGGAAAGGAGAATGTTAGCCGCTTTGAGACTCCCTAGGGTAGTGACAAAGCGGGATATCAAATCCAAACTCTTCTTCTTCATCATCATCATCTTCTTTTTCTTCTTCTTCTTCTTATAAATAGTATTCCAGAATTCTTTAATCCTCTTGCATTCCCACCACATGTGTATAAAGGTACTAACCCCACTTTTCCACCTCCAAGAAACATCTGAACTGTTTTTGTACATCTTGGCCAATTTGGCCAGGGTTAGGTACCACCTGTATAACATCTTCATCACATTTTCTCTAAGATTATAGCATGCAATGAATCTTATGTCCTCCTTCCACAGCCTTTCTCACTCCTCCATATATATTGTGTCCAATATCTTGGCCCAGTGTATCATAACCCATTTTAGTTCCTCCTCCTTGACTTCCCAGTCACTTAAGTCACATTCAAAGCACATGCTTGCCTCCCCCAAAGGATCCTGGGAATTGTAGCTTGTTCATCGTGGAGCTACATTTCCCAGCACCCTTAAGCTTAAGTTCCCTGCCTGGCTTCATACACATAATACGTTTAAAGCATGTGTCTTTCCCCCAAAGAACCCTGGAAATCATAGTGCACCCCTCACTGGGCTACAGTTCCTTTTTTTTTTTTAATAAGATATTTATTAAGATTTTCCAAATGTTACAATATAAAAATGAAAAAGGAGAAAAAAAGCAGAAAAAAAGAAAAAATACAAAATAAAAATGATTAAAAACCACTCATTTTTTACATTACTTATTTTCCTTAGCTTGTTTCCCGGACCTCCTCATACCTCCCTTTTTTGTATTCCAGTTCAATTTGTTGGTTCAGCAAATCCTTACCCTCTTTATTTATCCTAATCTTTGGTCTTTAAAATAGTAACGTTAAATTTTTGCCTATTAACAACCCATTTTTCATATTCCCTTAAAGCATTACAGCTGGAAACCACTTAATTTCTATCCAACATCATTCTAACATTCATTAATTTTACAATATTTCTGTAGATAGTCTTTGAATTTCTTCCAATCTTCTTCCACCGACTCTTCTCCCTGGTCTCGGATTCTGCCAGTCATTTCTGCCAGTTCCATATAGCCCATCACCTTCATCTGCCATTCTTCCAGAGTGGGTAGATCTTGTATCTTCCAATACTTTGCAATGAGTATTCCTGTGCTGTTGTGGCATACATAAAAAAAGTTCTATCCTTCTTTGGCACCAATTGGCCGACTATGCCCAGGAGAAAGGCCTCTGGTTTCTTCAAGAAGGTATATTTAAATACCTTTTTCAATTCATTATAGATCATCTCCCAGAAAGCCTTAATCCTTGGGCACGTCCACCAAAGGTGAAAGAATGTACCTTCAGTTTCTTTACATTTCCAACATTTATTATCGGGCAAATGATAGATTTTTGCAAGCTTGACTGGGGTCATGTACCACCTGTATATCATTTTCATAATATTCTCTCTTAAGGCATTGCATGCCGTAAACTTCATACCTGTGGTCCATAACTGTTCCCTAGGCTACAGTTCCAAGCACCCTTACTTTGAGGGGAATGTGCTTTAAATGTGTGGCATTTGTGCAACCTGGTTGCATATGCAACATAAATTTAAATTACATTTCCCATCTTCAAGTTCCCCAAACCCTTAACAGACTACAGTTCCCAACATTCTTTTGTTGTGAGGGGGAATTGTGTGCTTTAACAATGTAGTGTGTTCACACCCTCAGTTGCTTTACTGTGTAAGTCACTTTGAGGTACCTGAATGCAAAGATAATGTGGGATTTAAGAGGTTTGGTGATGCATCTTACTCTAAACACACATGACATGTTGTAGGAAATAATCCAACTCTGGGATCATTTCTTGAGGTTGATTATTGTATTGAACATGTGGTGTGCCTTTCATTCCCACACACTGCTCCAGTAATGTTTGCAGCTGAAGCCTACATTTCAAGAAAGTTCCAGGAATCAGTGAACAGAAGCATTGCTGATTTTTCTATAGTGTCTTATAACAAGCTTGTAAAGCTTGTGTAACCTGGGTAGCCAATTCAAAATTTGTGGTCACCAGAACATGCCCTTGCTACAAAAAGCCTACTGCACCACTGGAACATGGTGCAAGATGAAGGACAAAGATGCAAGGGTGTGGTATCTTTCCCTGTCTCTGCACCTGCATCATCTTCCTCCAGCTCAGAGCCAGAAAGGTAAGACAGAAGTTTGTTTTGGCTCTCTGTTCACACCCGGCAAGTGCAGAACTAAAGCAAGCTGTAGGCTTCTAACCATGTTTGGGACTGCAGAGGGAGTAATTATTTCTATCCCTCAGCAACTCTAATGTCAAAAGAAGGCCTCAGACCTCCCTCACAAGAGCACATCTGACTCCTTGCCCTGATGAAGGAAGCAAGCAGGCCTTTTTTCTTCTAATAAAGAGTTAACTTCTCTTACTCCATATGATTTCTTGCTGGCTGGCTCGCTGAGAACCAACTACCACAGAAGGAGCATGGTGTGTCTTCCACCAAAGTACTACCTCTCCTCTAACACCCCCCACACTAATATCACAGACACAGGCACTGTCCAGGATTCACAATGGCACCCAACATCCAAACATAAATGAAGACCCCCCCACACACACCTTGAGCACTCTTGAGCTGAATCTAGCGATCATATCTCTACTTGTGGCTGAACATATGCCACAAATCGGGCAAAGTCATGCCAAACTGAAATTTCAGTCTGCCATCTTGATTCAAAATGGCACCCAACATACAAACCGCAATTAGGTCTGCCGCCCCACCCTGGGAACCCTCATGCCAAGTTTGGTATTATGGATGGAGAGCTGTCCAATTGCATAGAGGGCAAATGGGCAAACCATTTCCCAAAATATCAGTCAGGTCAACATATTCCTCCAGCATGACATTGAAAAAGTGGGGGTGGGGTGGGAGGGAGAGTTGGACTCCCCAGAGTTGGAATTATTAGATGGCAGAAAAAGCCAGTGTCTTGTCAATACATAATTCCAATTAAAAGCTGAAAAATCATGAGTCCCAGCTCTTGGGAGCAGGAAAGAAGGGGTTGGGAACGATTCACTGATAAATGTATTTATGCACTGGCTCAATGGGAAAACTTTAGAAATTCATCGGAAATCACTCATTGTATCAATTTTCTCCGTTCCAATGGCATTTAGGACCCAGGGAAGTGAGGTATAAGGGGAGGGGTGAGTGAGCCCACCAGAATCCCTGAGATGTACAGACACCTCTGCAGGGCCTTCCCAAGGAGTCATGGCCAGTGATATCCTGCCCCAAGAGTGTCAGACAGATATCCAACCACCTCAATCACAATGCCTATCCATCCTATAGTGGGATGAAGCTGGACAAGACAGAGGGGTGTACTTGATTTGACTCAGGGACCAAGGAGCTGTAAATACTTTCCTTTGTACTGGGATGGGAGTAAGTGTGAAAGACTATATTTGCGTGACAGGGGTATGCCTGGATCTCAGGTTCTACCCGAGACCACACCTTTTCTGTGACAGATCTATGATGTCATGATGATGCATCCTGAGATGTATTATGGGAAACGGATGTAACCATTGATGGGGGCTTCTGGCTGCTTTGTCTTTGTGGCAGGGGGAAGTCTTGTTGCAACAAGAAAGATCAGTCCTACTGGCTGCTGTTTTGTTTCTATCACCTGGCTAAAGTCTCTTGCTTGTGACGCTCAACCTGAACTTATAGAAGTCAGGGTTAGGTGATTGCGGGGTGCTCCAAGGACTCCCTGTTACACCTGAAATGGCAGGGTCTGAACTGGCAACCCTGGTGAATAGCCTTTGCTGTTATGTAAGTTTGGAGTGTGTGACAGGTGGGGTGTGTGAAAGAGAGAGAGAGAAGCTACGAAGCTCTTTGGTACGATAATTATAATGTTGGAAGCAGGGCTTTTTTCAGCTGGAACTTGCTGGAACTCAGTTCTAGCACATCTCAGGTGGGCGCTATCACTGGCAGAGGAAGGAGTATGTGGTGGGTGTAGTGGGTGCGTGCTGCCCTGGGTGTCATCCCTGGGAGGGGGGGACATCACTGCGCCGCTTCCCTGGGACACTCGCCATGCCTCCCTGGGACGCTCGCCCCCCCCCCCCGGGACACCTTGTCCCTGCAGGTGGCTAGCCCCACCCCCACAGGCAGCTAGCCCTCCCCAGAGTGCACAGCACTAGCTCTGGGTACCATTGCCATTCTAAGAGAATGAGGGAGGTGTTCACGGTGAGTTCTGGCACATCTTTTTCTAGAAAAATGGCACTGGTTGCAGACCCTCCAAGTGTCCATATTTACCAGGGATGTTCCTGATTTAAAGATGCCATCCTGGTTTATGATTTGATCTTGGAGTGTCCCACTTTTCCTTAGGATGTCCCTATTTTCAATGGAGAAAGGTTGGAGGGTATGGAGTTATCCATCCCCTGAGCCATCTGAAGGCAATCCTGTATAGGGAAGTTTTTTTAAAAAGTAATGTTTTATGTTTTTATATGAGACTTCCGGCGTGGTGCGCTCAGTGGCGGGTCGAGGGAAAGTGCTCTGCAACAGTGGAGCATGGCCAATCACGGTAAACGGGAACTGGGGAAGAGCAAGGCGTTTCACAACACGCTGTGCCTGTGAATACTTTATCCTGAGCAAACCATTTTCTATGACTGCCTTTTCGGACTGATGAAGCGTGTAGCGAAACCTGTAATAGATCTGGAGAAAAGGTCTCCTTTTGCCCACTTGTGTTATTCTCATCAGGGTGGTGGCTTTGATTTGCCTTCCTGTGATTGATCCATGCAAACGGCTTTGTGTTTCCAACTCAAGACGTATTGAAGAACATCTCATCCAGTTCAATCTTTGAAGAACAGCTTTGAAAAACTTTTTCATGTTCTCCAGTGTGCTACCCTTGCTATTGTGGCGGCACAGGGTTGCCATTCTGTGATTGGACTTACGCTACTTGTTGAACGGTTCATTTATCCAGTTTGTATAACGTTTATTGCACATGCAACTTGTTAAGATACAGTTGTACATTTATCCACTCCATGTTTACAGTATCTCCAGGCTTTGTTTTGCACATGGCACCTTAGTATGTTTGTTGCTTGAATGGTTACAAGTCTAGCTCTATTCTAGTTATTATTCTAGTAAATTTGGTTTTATACTTATAAGCCAGTTTGTGGTGGTGTTGTTTTGCTGCATTATTATTACTGTCACCACATTTGATACTTTTTGTATATACTTTGTAGTTTTGTATCAGAGATGAGGACCAAGGTATCACCTTCTGCATATCATTCAACCTTTGGGCAAGCCACTCTGTTTCAGCCTCCCAACCTGAAATACGAAGAGATTACTAATACTGGCCTCCCTCACAGGACTGGTGTTAATTCTTACCATATCAGGTGTATGTACGTGAAGCACCTAAGGTGCCCTACAAATGGTGAGTCGGTTTTTGGCGTACAGAACCACACAAATACCCCTCCCCTTCTTGCCTTGCTAAAGTGAAAGAACTAAGGCAACAGGGTTAATTTATTTTAATTGCACTTTATTATTATTTTCTTCAAGATCCTGTTTTGCCAAGGTCCAGAACTGGAGGTGAGCTATGGCAATAGGTTAAGTTTGGTTTCCACAGAGAGGAGCTGTTCAAGGTGATACCCACCGCTACTCCCAGCAGCAGCTGGGTCAAAAGTGTGTAGGGTACAGGTGTGTTCGGCAGTGGTGAATTAAACAGTCAGGACTTTGAAGCTAGACAAAGTCCCAAATTGACATTTGCTACCGAGAGAGAGAGAGAGAGAGAGAGTGTCACCCCTCTTCCTGCCAGCAGGCTCAAAAACCACAAGTTAAGGCCACCTCAGCCCAAATGAGCAATCTGGGGAGGCCCACAGGAAAAACTCCAGCTCCATCCATCTCAGCTCCAGATCAGCAATCACTGAAGCTCTTGAGAGAAGAAAGTATTGCCATGGCATTTGCCAGGCCGCTCATCCCAGCAGGTATAGGTCATCATTGTCGTCGTCATCATCATCAAAGAGTGGGGTGGGGGGAGGCCGACCCTTAAGGCTCTGAAACCGAGAGAAAGAAAGGCAGGGATAGGTCACCGCTGCTTGGCAGAGGAGGTGGCCAGCTGAGCAGGACCATCAGCAAGGCAAGCAGGAGAAGGAAGCCAAGGATGTGGGCTCTAGCTTTCTCCCTAGTAAGTCGCAGGGTTGCCCCTTGTGGGACTCAGCAGGGAGGACAAAACTGGAAGTAGTTGGCTCTGCTGCCTGTCAGTGGCTATGGCTCCAGCTATTGTTAGTTTTAAATAGTGGACATTGACCCTAATAAAGTGATTGGACTGATTGGACTTGTTAGTGACTTGTTACTCAAAGGCCATAGCAGTTGAAAGCATGCTTGAAACATAAATATGAACATGCCACAAAACCGTAACAATACAGCGCCCCTAACAGCCACAGGAAAGATTGGTGGTGCCCTGGTAACAAAACACCACCACTTTAGTTTATCAAACACCTATTGAGGCGTCTATGGGTGGCGCTGTGGGTTAAACCACAGAGCCTAGGGCTTGCCAATCAGAAGGTTGGCGGTTCGAATCCCCACCACGGGGTGAGCTCCCGTTGCTCGGTCCCTGCTCCTGCCAACTAGCAGTTTGAAAGCATGTCAAAATGCAAGTAGATAAATAGGTACCGCTCTGGTGGGAAGGTAAACGGCGTTTCCGTGCGCTGCTCTGGTTTGCCAGAAGCGGCTTAGTCATGCTGGCCACATGACCCGGAAGCTGTACGCCGGCTCCCTCGGCCAATAAAGTGAGATGAGCACCGCAACCCCAGAGTCTGCCATGACTGGACCTAATGGTCAGGGGTCCCTTTACCTTTACCTATGCCTTCCACCTTAAGCCGTCCCAAATGGCACCATACACCACTGCACCCCCTCAAAGCTCTTACCACCTCTTCCTCGTCGTCGTCGTCTTCTACCAACAGAGTTCCCAGTGCAGATGGCTTGGGAGTGGCAACTTTGAAGAAACCACCCTTGTCCTCAAGAAGACTGCAAGAGAAAAAGACAGAAGGAAAAGGAGAGTGGGAGTGATGCAGTGGTTAACGGACCAGAACCCAGGGAGACCAGAGTTCAAATCTCTACTCAGTCCTGAAGCTCATTGGGTAGTGCCTACCTTATAGGGTTGATGTGGGGGTTAAATGAGGGAGTGGGGGAGTGCTAGCACTGATGTCAATGAATGGAGCAGAGGGGTGTTGAGAATTCCATTCCTCCTGTACTGCAGATGTGTGTGGGATTGTTACATGTCACATGTCTGTTTACATTCCAGCACTGATTGTGGGAGTTTTGTGAGAGGAAGTTGAGATATGCTGTTTCCGCTCTGTATAGCTTTTGTTTTTTGCAGCTCTCTCTCCGAGGAAGAAAGACAGAGAGAGGAGCCATGTTTTATTTGTTCTGTTATGTTTGATTTAATTTCCAATAAATTAGGCTTAGATGTTACTACTCAAGGCTGAGCTTCTGTTTTGAACTCTGCTCATTGTGTGCTCATGTCCCTGGATATGGGCCACATCAGTGTGACGGGAGACCCGAGGAATGAATCCCAGGCGAGGCTGCAGTTGGGGGGAGGCAACAGGCCTCAGCGTTATCACCCAACAAGGGGGAGCCAGGCTCTTCCTTTGTGCCTTAAACCCCATGCTATTAGGGGGTGGGGGGAAGGCACGGAAAGGCAAGAGACTCATAATGGGTACAGTTCCCGTCCCCCTCCCGCCCTGGCACAGACCTGGAATCCGCTTCCATGGGGCTGGACGCTGGTCTTGGCTGTGAGGCTCCAGCCAAGTCCTGCTGCTTGTCAGCTACAGCAGCTTGAGAGGTGGGGCCAGCGGTGTGCTGACTTGCCCCACTCTCCTCCTTGCCCTCTGGACCCGTCGTGGGCCCCTCCATTGCAGGGGCCATCTCACCCGCCGCTGGATTTGGAGGTGCCAGAATGGCGGTGTCTATTGTGTCCATTTCTCCCTGAGTGCTTGGCCTCTCCTTCTCAATACTGGCGGAGAGCCTGAGAGGCGGCCTTGCAGTTTGAGCAGAGGCTGCACGAGTTTGTTCAACCGGTGCTTCCGAAGAATGAGCCTCAGGAGCTGCAAATAACAGACTGTCTTGGGCTCCTTCGAGAGCCGTGAATGGAGGACTGCTTGAGCTTTCCTTCAGATTAGCCAAAGGAGCGGGGGATGCCACTGGTGCTGGTTCTCGGAGAGAGTTGCTGTGGGGATCCCCATAAAGGGGTGCGGCACTTGGCTGCTTCCTTTCCGCAGGTCCTTCCTCCTCGGTGCTGCTGCTCCCCCTTTGCTCCTCCTGACGCTCCAGCAGCTGCAGAGTTGTTGTCTGGAACAAGTAGAGGGGAGGGGGGATTATTTGCCACAAAAAAAGACTGCAGCCCCTGATGAAAGTACTGTGTAATGGTTGGTCTCTAGCCAGGACTCAGGAGACCAGGGTTTGAATCCCTACTCAGCCACACAGGCACAGCTAAGTGACTTTCACTTTGCAGTACCTTAGATACAACCTGTTATTTCTAGAGAGCTGGGCTTCACCCTCTTTGCCGCTCCCATGATTAGTAATATGGGGCTAAATGCCACCCCAATCTCTGACCGGTGCAAGACTGCAGGGGTCTAGGCACTTAGTCTGTGTTTCCTTTGGAAATGAGGAACAGTGTAGACTGTGGTGTCATAATGATATATAGTTTATTTACACCTGAGCCTGTAATGGAGGGGGCCCCCAGCATACACTCCAAGAGAGTCCCGTTTTTCCCATTGCTGCAACCTCTAATTCAAACTGTCAGTCTGCATTGTGCTCTGATCCTGCCTCTCCAGCTTGCTGCATTTAACAGACTGAAAGCCTTTTTTCTTTTGATCACACCATAGCCAACTGAAATCCTAAAACTTCCTCCTAACCAAAACTTTGGCACTCTCTTCAAACTCACTATCTCAAAGCTCTGGGTGGGGCTTCACCCATCTGCTGGCTGGTAGAGTGTCTGTCTTGCTGATGGCCCATCTCTCTGTCCGCAGCACATACTGTATACTAAAACTGGATTGATAAAGAGGTTAGCATGGCCTCTGCAAACTGGTGAAGTGTTCCATTTTTTAAAGATGTTTAATGTTTGACTATGTTTTATATATGTGTTGGAAGCCACCCAGAGTGGCTGGGTATAAACAAAATAATAATAATAAATAATAATAAATATTATTACTATTATTATTATTATTATTATTATTATTATCATCATCATCATCATCATCATCATCATCATCATCATCAGTTCTCTAATGGCCCACCTCTCAAGCGATCTCCTCAACACAGGAAGCTGAGTCCAGCTGTTAAGCGTCTGACTTTCAGTTTCACTCTCCAAGCAGTGATTAAATTCTAACACTTACTAAACCCAGTAGTTATGGGCATCTTGCACCCAAAACTCTGGCACCCAAACTCATGACATTTGGAACCATACAAAAAGGAAGAGAAATGATAGACCAGTTCACTCAATCTGCATCTTATTCAGGTGTCAGGATCCATCTGCCCTGGGCTGTACCTTGATGGCGTTCAGGACGATACCCAGGACCTCCTGGCCGGTATAGGACTCCTCTAAGTTGAACTGGCCCCGCAGGGCCTGGAAGACCTCGTTCATGATCTTCTTCACCTGGGGCAGAATGATGCCAAAGAGTCAGAAGGCAGGGAAGCAACACCAGCAAGGACAGTGGGCTTTCAAGAGCTTCTGGACAGCCAAATGTGGTGATGATTTCATTTATTCATTTATTTTACAACCAACATACATTATCTGGATAGCATCCACGTGCCAAGAGATGGATGACATTGTATAGTGCTGTTCAGACTAACAGGTAAGAACTCCTGATTGAAGTTACAGAAGTGTGGTTTACCATTGCTTTTGCTGAATGTGACTAAGATTTCTCTTTACTGCTTGCCCCCCGCCGCTTTCCTTAACACTTCTTATTTCAAGAGCACTTCAGGGTTTGTTACAGAGAGAGGAACACATCTGTGTGTATTTTTAGGAGATACCTTATTTGTGAGACTGTAAACTGTTTTAAACTATTGTTAACTGCTATTGCCTCTGCCAACCTGGTGCCCTTCCAAAAGTTTGGGACTAATTAGGCAAGCCACATTTCACACTGTACTATGGACAGGGAGTCCAGTGTCTTTCTCTACAGATTGTATACAAGGTAAAATCCCACCCAGCTGCCTGCATAGAATTTTTCAGGGTCCTCCAGCCTTTGACAACATGTAATTTATGAGTTGCTTTTTCAGCTAACGCTAAGCTCTCTATATATTTGCATCAAGTAGTTCAGTCTCTGCATTACTACACAGCATCACACTGGCTCACAGCACAGATGTGTAACAAGCCTGTGGGACACGTTAGAACCGCAGACCCTCCATCAAGACGTTTTAAGAGAGCCCCACTGACCTTGCCTTTCACAGGCTCTGGCTGTTCCTGCTGTGGTGACAGCTTCTCGTTCTCTGAGCTTCTTGTGGTTTTAAGCAGGGAAAGCTAGAAGAAAACCAGCATTAACTAAGTGGCGGTCCGCAGACCACAGTTCAGGAGCCCTTGTAATAAACAGTAAGCAGAGAGGCCTATGGCAGACATGAAAACCCAGCAGAGTGAGCAGAGGTGTTCCAAGGACAGGTGGCTCCTGCCCATTGAGGTGGGTGGGGCAGAAGAAAAGGAGCCCAATGACAGGCAGAGCCACATCCTGATTGGCTGTAAGGAAGAAGGCAAGCAAGTGGTGGCTGGATGAGGGCAGTGCCCTGTTTGCCTAATAGACTAGACTCCACCGACTGACCTCTTGGGGGCCGCCTGCCAAGAGTAAAAGTAGATGGAGCAACATACGTTAATTTCCCCACTTGTCCCTTTCAATCCTCCATTTAAGAATGAAAGAAGCCCAGCCAGATGGGCGGGGTATAAATTATTTCATCATCATCATTATTATTATTATCATCATCATCATCTTCCAGGGAGGCAAAGAACAGTCAAGGGTGCAAAGCTGGGGGGGGGAAGGAGAGGGGTGTGGCACTGGGAGAATCCTAAGGGTCAGAGAGAGTTTTCCAGGGAGCCACTTCTGGCCTCGGGTGATGACTTTTGCCACCCCTGGGCACTACCTTCTCCAGATTCTCCTTCTTAATGCGGATATCAGCCAGCTCCTCTTCCAGGGCTGTCACCTTCTCATCCAACTTCTTCCCACTCAGCTTCTCCTCCTGGTATCTGCTTTTCATGTCGTCAGACGATTTCTGAAGTTCTGTGGAGGTGGGGCACAGAGCCGGTTACAGTGCATGCCCTTGTTTCCATCCACTGCTGTAGCTAAGCCTAAGTACAGCGCCATCTGCACTATATGCGTCAAACACTCACAGCTTCCCACAAAACATTCTGGGAACCGAGAACATTCTCTTAAGGGTGCTGAGAGGTGGTGGGACCCCCGGTCTGCCACCACCCCCAGCTACAATTCCCAGGCTGTTAAACTATGCTGGAAATGGCCACTTAAGCAGGGCTCTCTACTTCAACACAACTATTGGCAGCTGGAACAAACCACACTTCCCAGGATTCTTTGGGAGAAAGCCATGACTGACTGTAGTGGCATGATAACGCTGTATAGTGTGGATGGGGCCTCCATGTAACTTTAAAGACATACAGGTGAAACTTGAAAAATTAGAATATCATGGAAAAGTTCATTTATTTCAGTAATTCAACTTAAAAGGTGAAACTAATATATGAGATAACTAATGACATGCAAAGCGAGATATGTCAAGCCTTTATTTGTTATAATTGTGATGATCATGGCGTTTATAGACATATCACATGTTTCTTCTCACTCTTACACTGCTCTGCTCTTGCATGCAGGGCAAGGAAGGTGCAGAATCTGTACAAACCCATTTTCTATTATGTTACATTATGTTAATGTTACTTATTGTTTGTAAGCTGGAGATTCATTTCAACAAAAAGCAGCATAGAAATACAGTCAATCAAGTTTGTAGAGATCAGAAGCTTGCCTTTTTTAAACAGATGGAATTAAAGTCAAGAGTGTTTTTGGAGATTGTGTGTCTGCTTTTTAACAGCTACACTGCAGGAGGCCCTAAGGAGCAGGACCTCCAGAGGTTGCTGGACTCCAACGCCCATCATCCCTGGCTATGCTTGCTGGGGCTCATGGGAGGTGAAGGCCAGTAATACTTTGAGGGCCACAGGCTCCCTACCAGCAAGCTAAAGAATTTCCTAGAATGATAAAACTACTCTGCATGTGCTTGGATCGTGCTCTTCTGCCATTTCAGCGCCTCCTCTCAGCTTCCCTTACCTGCCAGCTGTGCATGGAGTCGGTTGACCTGGGCTTTCTGCCTCTCCGACTCTGTCAGGGCTTCATTCAGTTGGGAGTGGAGATCTATCTCCTGCTTCTGATGACGGGTCAGCTCCAGCTGGAGCTGGGAGATCTGCACTGTGGCTTCCGCTAGCTCCTTGGTGACCCTGACCTGCAACACAAAGGAGCAGAAGAGACAGAAGAACATATGGGGAAGGAGTGCCCACAAGACCTTTCCTGGGAGGATGCAAGAGCTGTGCTTTTGGAGGCTCCCAAATGCTAAGAATGAGTCTCTCGGGAAACACCCTGCAGAACTGGTCTACTGGCAAGGCTATGAGGAGCGGGGGGAGGCAGAAACCTTGGGCTTTTTAGTTAGTTCAGGAGAAAGCATGCACGACAAAGGTGCATAAAATGGAGAGCAGATAAGATTTCCCCAGAAAATTCAGGACAGACAAAAGAAAGGACATCTTCACACAGCAGAGCTTTCTCCCACAAGATGGAATGAAGGCCACCAAGTTGGATGGCTTTAGCAATGGAGCAGGAAATGCCTCCACCGTTGGAGGCAGCATGCTGTTCCTGGGAACTGCAAGTGGGGTGAGCGCAGATCCTGCTTGTAGGATTCCCTTTTGGGACATCTGGTTATGAGAATAAGACGGGCTTTGGGCCTGATCCAGCCAGGCAAAAGCACTCAAGGAGGGTGCAATGTAGGACTGGTGAGGGTGCGTGGCTTGGAAGGAGTTTTGAGGGCCAGAAACATAAGCCAGGAAGGTGGCCTTTGGTCCAGGGGCCTGGAGTCCCCCCACCCCTGATTTAGAAAAACCCATTGTCACTGAAGCAGGGATGGCAAAGCACAGAGAGGCTTCGCAACGAGAGACACCTGCAGAAGGCGTGGGGTTTTTGACTGCTAAAAGTATGAAATGGTGACCTGGAAAGTATGAAGGGAGTAAGGAAGTGCTCAGGTAATCAGGACACCCAAGAACAATGCCTCACCTGATCCCACCCCTGATCCAGTGGCGGCATGTGCTAGAGAGAAAAGCGGCAACAAGGAGAGGAGAGTTAACACCACCAGAAGCAAGAACAGCAAGAGGGGAGAAAGTTTTATCAAAAGAGGCAATGGCATTCTGGGTTAAGAGCACTCTGCTTATTCTGTGGTCCAAGGGCTGATTATATCACTGAAAATCCCAGCGGGCTCAGAGTAAGATGCATGGAAGATCCCTTAATGGCGGGGTTTGCACGCTGATGCCCAAGGAAGAACAGGCCACAGCAAACCTGGACTTGCATCCTCTCCCCTTACATCTCCTCCTCTCATGCGACCAGGAACCCTGACACTTATGCCCAGCCATGGTTTGCAGCTAACATCAACTATGGTTAATATCAAACACACCAACTTCAAATGTTTGTTTCAATAAGCTAACTTCAGAAACTAATTCTACTTAATATTAATGGCTGTTCTCAGTCCAGACAACAGAGGAAGCAGCAGTTACCTAGAAGTGGAAACTCTCACACCCTTCTTCTTGGTTGCATAGGAGGAAGTGAGGGGGATGTTCACTGTACTTGCTCACGTCATGCCAACCCACAGTTTAGCATGGCATGTGAATGCAGCCAATGAGATCTTACTGTAGCCCAATGTGGTGCATTTTTTTCCTTAACCACTCTGTTAGATTTTAAAGGGACATTCTGTTGTTCTCTCATATTCAACCTGAGGTGCTTTTCAAAGGATTACCTGAAGCTTATGTGTACATGCATGTATACCTAGAAAGTCGTTTCTTCTACAGTGGTACCTCGGGTTAAGTACTTAATTTGTTCATGAGGTTTGCTCTTAACCTAAAACTGTTCTTAACCTGAAGAACCACTTTAGCTAATGGGGCCTCCTGCTGCTGCCACCGCCGCGCCGCTACTGCACGATTTGTGTTCTCATCCTGTGTTCTTAACCCGAGGTAATATTTCTGGGTTAGCGGAGTCTGTAACCTGAAGCGCGTGTAACTTGAAGTGTATGTAACCCAAGGTAGCACTGTATTTTGTTATTGCTGCTGCTCAGAAACGTAACTTATTTCTGGCCTGCAAGCAAAGGGGAATAGTGACCTGCACTAGTGATTGTGAACTCAAGGATGGGATCCTGGGGTAGCACTTGCCCTCACCACAGCCTCAGTCACTTGGCCTTCCTGTTGTGGCTGTCACACTGCCAGGGCTTACCTTCTCCTGTTCAGCATGTAGGACCCTTGCCTGGGTGTGCTCCATGGTCCTCTGCAATGAGCTGTTGCTCTGCTCAGATAACAGGTTGCTTTGCTCCACATAGCTGGGGGAAGAATTGTTTTTTACACACGTGAATGTTTGCATGATTTGATACTTTCCACCCTCTCATGTAAAAATAAATAAATCAAGGCATATCATATGTAGAGCTCACTTTTCAAAAGCCACCCTAGGAGAGTTTTTACCTTTATATCAGATTGGAACCCTGGTCTCCCAGATCTTACTCTGACAGACCCTCTTAACTGCTACTCCACACTGGCTATATTCCTGTATTCCTCTATTTGTCCATCCAGCCCAGTACTGTCCACTTTGACTGGCAGCAGCCTTGGGGTGCCTGGGGACTGAGCCAGGCCACCTGAGCTTTAGGCTTCAGCCACAAATACCAGCTGTTTCTCATAGAGCATTAAAAGTGAGCAAGAGTCTCCCTCACCGTTGGTTGCGGTCAATCAGTTCACCAATCTTCTTGTTCTGCTCCTCAATGCGGCTGCTCTTCTCAACGATCTCCTGTTTCAACCTCTCATTTTCCTGTGGCACAAAGAGCAAAACGGAATGCGTCAGAGCCAGTCCTGGCCTCTACAACTCTCACAATCTCCAGCCACAATCTCTTCCCCAACCTCTCTCGGGGACCCAGATTTGAGGAGAGAAATCGTTGTGGTCTTCCGCCATGGTCATGGACAGAACATGGGCAGTTTGGAGCTGCTCCCCTTTTGCAAGCCTCCTAAGTAAACTTTATTTAGTAAGCAAATTGCGAGACAGCTGTACTGCATGAAGCCATGGAAGCAAGATACATGGTAAAAGCAAAATACAACACAGAAATCCAAGCTCTGAGAATGAATAAAATCAGTTTCACAAACTCTGATACAATAAGTCCATCTATTCTACTCAACTTTAAAAAACAACACCATTTCAGCAGGTATAAAACTTGATCTTCATAAGTGACATCTCAGGATGGAAAGCCCTCCAAAGCAAGCATGCTTTCAAGAGGCATCTGAACCGCGTCACACTAGGCCCTGGTCTGATTTGGGCTGCAAACTCATTCTGGATGTCTGGAGCTGCAATACTAAAAGCCCAATTGCTAGTGGAGCCTTAGAGGAACTGGAACAGAGGAAGCTCTCTTAGCTCAAGCCAGATAGTTGCGTGTATCTAGCTCAATGCAGCCTACAACAGGGGCAAAGAACCTCTGCCAGTCCAAAGGCTGCCTTGCCTCTGGATCAACTGTCCAGGTGTGGGCGGGGCTAGGGACAAAAGTGGGTGGAGCAACAGATGTGGCTATAATACAGGAGACTAGAAGTCTCTACACCGATTGCTCCACATCCAGGATAGGAACAAAGACACTTCCAGCTGGCCAAAAGAACTCAAGGAAGGTGCAGAGCAGGAACAGGGAAGGACAGGGCAGCATTTGTGCCCAAGGCTCCCCACTGACTGGCAGCGTCTCCTCCAGGGTTTCAGGCACGGGGTCTCTCTCAGCCCTGCCAGGAGACACCATTGGGGACTGTACCCAGGACCTGTTGCCTGCGAATCACATGCTCTGCTGCTTGGCTGTGACCCTTCACCTGAAGGTAAAAGCAAGGTGTTCTAGTCTTCTTGCTCTCAAGTAGACAGGCTCTTTACCTGCAGGATACGCTGGATGTTACTCATGATCATAGAGGTTTCCATGGTAACAGAAGAGATGCCTGGCAGCAAACCGGGGCCAGAGTTTTGCTTCCGCAGTTCCTCCAGCTGCAAGGGGTGTGGGGAGAGAAAGGAAAAACAAAAAGGAGGTGCAGCTTGAAGCATCAGCACACGGGAGAGAAGAAGCCAGATCAGGCCTGGGCCCTTTGAGCTGCTCACTTGTTTGCCAAGGAGAGAAACTGCTGGGAGCACAGCAACCTGGCTCAGTATCAGACCACTGGCTCCATCTAGCTCAGTGCTGTCAACACTGGCGGGCAGCATCTCCCTGGGTTTTCAGACTGGGGTGTCGCCTAGCTGAAACAGCTTCCCTAGTCCCAAACCTCCCCCCCCCCCATCAGAGATTAAAAAGACAATTCACAAGCCTACTATAAAAGCAGCTAGATACAGTTCTCCAAACAGTATGAAACAGAAGCAAAACCTGAAGGTAGATTGATTTATTATTTCAGAAAATGTATATACTGCCTGATATATGTATTATACAATGAACATAAAACGCCAAAATTGTTTAAAAGCCTTAAAACAGTTGAACAATGATCAATATCAGGCAGGCACCTTCACTGTACAGGCAACTCCCCATCTGTGGGCGCACCAGTTTTGGCCCTCAGGGGTGCGGGGCAGGCTGACATGCACAGTGCCTCAGAACGCAAACCCCGTGTAAATGGGGAACTGCCTGTACCCTTTTCGGCACATGCTTCTTTAGATCTCTAGAATGCTGATAGGTTTCTAGTTTATCGCTGGTTTTAATTTTTTGAATATTTAAATCGTTTTTACTAATAATTCTATTGTTTTATTCTTTTTGTAAAGTGCTTTGAGTTTTTTTATGAAATAAAATAATCAACAATACAAAACCAAAGGGTGGCGCTGTGGGTTAAAACCACAGAGCCTAGGACTTGCCGATCAGAAGGTCGGCAGTTCGAATCCCCACGACGGGGTGAGCTCCCGCCGCTCGGTGACTGCTCCTGTCAACCTAGCAGTTCGAAAGCATGTCAAAGTGCAAGTAGATAAATAGGTACCGCTCCGTCGGGAAGGTAAACAGCATTTCCGTGCACTGCTCTGGTTCACCAGAAGTGGCTTAGTCATGCTGGCCACATGACCCGGAAGCTCCCTCAGCCAATAAAGCGAGATGAGCGCCGCAACCTCAGAGTCAGTCATGACTGGACCTAATGGTCAGGGGCCCCTTTACCTTTACCTTGAAAGTTCTGTATTACCTTGACTGACAGTTGGTCCATCTTGTCAGCCACCTTCCCAACGGCCAGGCGGATTTCTGTGTTCTGCTGCCGGGTCTCTGTCAGCAGGAATGAACCAAGGTCTCCAGCTGCTGTGACAGGAAAAAAAACTTTGCAAGGTTGTGTATGTTATTCTTGTTTCAAAATGAGACTGCCAGCAGAAGCAAATACAGTGGTGCCTTGGGTTACATAGGCTTCAGCTTACAGACTCTGCTAACCCAGAAATAGTACCTCGGGTTAAGAACTTTGCTTCAGGATGAGAACAGAAATCGCGCAGCAGCAGCTGGAGGCCCCATTAGCTAAAGTGGTGTTTCAGGTTAAGAACAGTTTCAGGTTAAGAACGGACCTCCGGAACGAATTAAGTACTTAACCCGAGGTACCACTGTAGAAGTGGACAGGGCGGGAAGAGAGGGGTCACACCAATAAGAAAGGGCAGGGAGAAAAGAACACAGTCGTCCTTGAGCATCTTAACAAGCAGCCGTGAATCTTCTAGGGTGGGGGACTTTAAGGCAACTTAGCTGCCTATTCCCAGCTTTTAAATGGCTGGAATAAGGCAAAAGGAAATGCTTCTTCACACAGTGCAGACTTAAACCAAGCAACTCTCTTCTGCGGGAGGCAGTGATGACCACCAACTTGGATGGCTTTAAAAGAGGATTGGACAAATTCATGGAGGAGGAGAAGGCTATTGATGGCAACTAGCCATGATGTCCATGTTCTGACTTCACAATTGAGGGCAATAAATGCTTCTGAATACCAGCTGCTGAAAAGCAGAGGAAGGGAAAGGTGCTCAGATCCTGCTTTTAGGTTTCCCACAGGCATTTGGTTGGCCACTGTAAGAAGAAAATGCTGGACTACATGGGTCACTGGCCTGATCCAGTAGGCTGTGACGCTCTGAACGGGGGAATTTCTAACTTTCACTGAGTTAATGCTCAACAGGTAGGATTTCATTTCCTGGGCTACAGAGGTAGATGCTCAACATTCACTATCCGTACCAGTTTGGGAAATATGGGTGTCTTAATTAATACTGGTGTGTCACCATTTCTTTCTCTTATTATTTTCTGTTTGCTTTCTTCATATATGGCAAGCCTGCTACCAGACTTTTGGGTTGTCAACAATGTTAATAAAGGGTTTTGCTTTTTTAAAAAAGTTAATGTTTGAAAGCAGCTCCCAAAGCTACATAGTGCACAGTTTGAACATACCTTGGAAAGGAGCTGGGCACAACCCAACAGGCTGGAGCTGGGAAACTGCGGCACTCACTTGTGGGTAAGCATATGGCATCCCTGCATAAGGCTGAGAACACAGGTGGGGGAGGGAAAGGAGAGTCAGGTGACTTGTCACACTGACCAAACAGACGGCAAAAAGGTCCCCCATTAAAACAGCAGGATTGCTTAAGCCTGCTCTCAAGGGCTAGATGACCCAAAGGCCAAGGACTGCAAGGGATCTTCTCCTGCAAAAGGCAATGATGGACAACCATTTGGACAGCTTTAAAAGAGGATTGGGCAGATCCATGGGGGAGGCGCCTATTGATGGCTACTGGCCTCGACAGCTAATGGCTGGAAGAAGGAATGCTTCTGAATGCCAGTTGCTGGAAACTGGGGGAGGGGAAAGAGCTCTTGCACGCAGGCACTGTTTGTGCACTTTGCACTGGGGCATCCAGGTAGCCACTGAGAACAGGTGCCCCCATGTGAACAGGATGCTGGCCAAGATAGGCCGTTGGCCTGATCCAGCAGAGGTTCTTCTTACATTCTTCTAAAGATCACCCAATATATAGAAGATCCCCACTGGATTTGGTGGAAACTACCTCAGCACTGCCGAGGTAACAAACTGCTTCCCTCCAACCCAAGGCTATGAATGCTGCTAGCTCTTAATCTAGCGCTTTTGGGATTTGCACTGAAGGGCTATTACCTTCATGGTTATGCTTCACCCTCCCTATTTTGCAAATGAAGACCTGACACTGACAGAAAAGGATGAGGAAACTTAGTCTAGCCTGCTAGTCACATGCCCCTGTCTTGAGCAAACCGGGGAACAGAGGATGGTGTTGTGGCTCACCTGGCAACCTATTAAAGAACCTTTCCCTGCCTACAAAGGACTCCTTACCTGATAGTTTTGAGGGGTTCTTGGAAGGGGTGGGTGTGGCTGGGGGGCAGCAGGCGCCTGGAGCCCTGAGACAGCTGGATGAGGAGCTAGGAAGAAAGCAGAGGCATCAGTGTTGCCCATCTCAATACAAGCAGTCCATCATCATCATCATCATCATCATCAAAATGTTTGTCTCTATTTCCACCCAAAGGAACCCAGAGGAGTAAGCACACAAACAGATCAATTCAAGCATCTAAACACAATGCCAGTGACAGATGCAGACTCTGCTCAAGCTGATCTACAGCAAATGAAGGACACTGCTCCCCCATCCCCACACATCCAGATTTCCTCCGCTTTCCATGCACAATCATCATGCTGGCTTCTGGGTTGTGTCCAACTAAATTCTACTGAGTAGAGCCACTGCACTCAAGAAGAACCCTGCCAGATCAGGCCAGTGGCCCATCTAATCTGGCACCCTCTTCTCACAGTGACCAACCAGGTGCCCCCATGGGAAGCCTGCAAACAGCCCTCTCCCCTCCTGCGGTTTCCAGCCACTGGCATTCAGAAGCATTCTTTCCTCCAGCCGTGGAGGGAGGGCGCAGCCACAGTGCCAGTGGCCATTGACAGTCCTCTCCTCCATGAACTTGCCTAGTTGGTGACCATCCTCCATGAACACCCTAGTTGGTGACCATCACCAAGGCACAACAAGGGAACACACTTTTTACCTTGCGTTGCCCACTGAGGAGGGGCCATTGGACGGTAGTCGTTCGGACAGAAGGTTGAAAATTCTTGAATGGCATGCGGCTCCTGAAGAAGACAATGCACAATTAACCCTCCTGGGAAGTGGAAAGGGACCCTGGAGGCTTCAAATCCCACATTAACGAGAGAGAGGCATGCCAGAACATTTGTAGCTATGGGGTTTTTTTTAATACGTTGTAAGCCGCTTTGAGCATTGTTTTAACTTGGGAAATGCGACATACAAATAAAATGATTGCTGATCCTTACAAGGCTTTCCCTCAAATTAAGATTCAAACCCAAAACCAGTTTGGGGTGAATACTAGATCTAGGGAGGGCAAGACTCTCAGTTTCATGCAAAAGGCCCCAGGTTTGATACCCGGTAGGCAGGGAATGCCCCCTGTCTGAAACCCTGGAGAACCAGGTAGGTTTGTAATTAAATAAAAAAAAGGGCCCTCCCCTCCTTCACTGCCAGTCAGTGTAGACAGTAGGGAGCTAGGTGGATGAGCAGTCTCACTTGGTATAAGGCAGCTTGCTATGTTCGTCAACCGTCATGCTGCCAACCTACCTGAATTTCAGCAACCGCCAACACACACAAACCCCACTGAAAAAAAGCTGAGAATTGAAGCTAACACACCTCTACCTCCTTGTCAGCTGAGCCTTGCTGGGGTGCAAATGTGCTGGTGGGGACAGGTAGCATAGGCTGACCCATCTTCGCCATACGGGAAATCAGTTTCACTTTTGTTACATCAGGATTCTGTCCAAGGAAAGAGAAAGGGGGGCGAGAAGAGAAAGGAAGAGAAATCGATGTTATAATTGGCCATCCAGGCTTTTCAGAAACGTAGTTATTGTTTGTCAGAATATGACATCAGGCTATAAAACAGGGAGGGTGATTGAGGGGACCTTCCATCTAGATGTTGTCGGCTACAACTCCCCAAGCCAAAGTGACCTCATTGCCCAGCTAAGGAAAATAAAAGTGGTTTACAAGCTTATACAACAGCTTATATTGCATTTAATAATAATAATAATAATAATAATAATAATAATAATAATAATAATAATTTATTTATACCACGCCCTCCCCAGCCAAGGCCGGGCTCAGAGCGGCTTACAAGCAATAATAAAAACAAGAGGAATGATTACAACTTAAAAACAAAAATAAAATACAACATTAAAATAATGAAACATTAAAATATTAAAATGTAGCCTCATTGCAGCAGGAGAAGGAAAAGAAAAAAGAAAGAGAGGGAGGGAGGGAATCAAATTGGCTCCAAGCCAAAGGCCAGGTGGAACAACTCTGTCTTACAGGCCCTGCGGAAAGAAATCAGATCCTGCAGGGCCCTGGTCTCATGAGGCAGAGCGTTCCACCAGGCCGGAGCCAGAGTTGAAAAGGCCCTGGCTCTGGTTTAAGCCAATCTAACTTCCTTAGGGCCTGGGACCACTAGGGTGTTGTTATTTATGGACCTTGAGGCTCTCCCTGGGGCATACCAGGAGAGGCGGTCCCGTAGGTACGAGGGTCCTAGGCCATGAAGGGCTTTAAAGGTCAAAAGCAGCACCTTAAATCTGACCCTGTACTCCACCGGGAGCAGTGCAGCTTGAAAAGCACTGGGTAAATATGCTCCCATGGCAAAGACCCCGTGAGGAGCCTCGCTGCAGCATTCTGTACCCGCTGGAGTTTCTGGGACAGCTTCAAGGGCAGCCCCGCGTAGAGCGGGGATTTAGATTTCCAATCTTCCTGCATTAGATATCTTCATGGTTTCTTTAAAAAAGAGAGAGATTCCTCTTCCCATATCATGGGATGCATCCAGTAAAACAACCTCTCAAACCCTTTCAAAGCCTAACAGTTGGATTTCAAAATGGTGGTGAGGGCTGTCACATCCCCTGGGCAGGATTAAGCCAAGGGGACCAGAGCCCAAGCAAGATCCCCTAAGAGAAAGCAGCTGGTTTGTCCTTCTCCCACCCCCCACCCTGCCCTGTGGCTTCCTTTGTGTGCCTGACAATGCATGTCAGATGCTCAGTACTTAGGCCTTAGTTAAGGGCATATCAACCAGCTGAAAATGATGGCAGAACTGAGATAAATTCAACAGAGTAAATAATTTTTGATGGTGTAAAAGTGGAAAACTGATTTGAATGGTTTACTAAAATATGCAGGAATGTATAATATATAAAATGAACCATGGAAGGAGAAGAAGGGAAGTGACTGGATATTTTACAGTTTGTAAAATGTTTATTTTGAAATGCAAAATAGAAAACTTTATAAAAATTATTATAGGAAAGGGCACAGCAACCTTCACCAACCTGGGGCCCTATAGGTGTAATGGACTACAACTCCCATCAGCCCCCAGCCAGCATGCCCTCTGATAGAAAACAGGAATAAAATACACAGATAATCAACTAAGATGTTGTAAACATGCACACCCATGGGGGGGATTACATTTATAGAACCTTCCAATGTGTGTGGGGGGTCCTCATGAACACACCATTTCCTTGCTACATTTTCACTCTAAAACTATTAATGAAAGAACCTTAAAACTGCATTATTATTATTATTATTATTTTTAAAAACCCGCTTAGAAACCCATCTTAGAAGTCTATGCAAGCACAATATCAAATGTTAATTACTTGTAGTCACAGGTGATATGCTTTTCCTGTGACACGCCGTATTTTTCCGTGTATAAGACTAGGTTTTTTCTCTTAAAAATCATGTCAAAAATTAGGGGGGATCTTATACACAGATACATCTTCCCCCATTTTCTTAAATCCAAGTCCATAAAAATAGGGGGCGTCTTATACATGGGAGCGTCTTATAGACGGAAAAATACTGTATCTTTATTACGTGGGAGCTTTTATTTAAAAAAATATATCACAGGATCAACAGGGAAATGTAACCTGAGTTTCTCAAAAAATGCTCACCAATAAGGATCCCTCTCTCTATGAGAGGACCAAGTTACTTCTCATTGCTTTGGTCACATTCAACAGGAACTATACAATCAATAGGCAGATTTGGCTCCAATGGGGACTTACCGCTAGTTGTTCGCTAATAGAGCTTGATTTGGCACGCACAGCTGGCTCCCTGCAGTATGGAAGGAAGGGAGTTAACAAACCTGAGCATAGTAGGAAGAGTCTATTAAGGGGTAGGATACTCAACTGGCCTTTGGGACTCTGCCTCGGCCAAGCCCCTCACCAACCCCACCTCATGACCTCCCCAAGGGAGCTTTAGCCTGGCTGGAATGTGTCCTTGAACTGTGACAGTGCACCTTGCTTCCCTGGACAGGGAGAGGTGTGTGCAGAAAGAAGCCCCACATGGTGTATTTTCTGGCTGCACAGAAGGCAGGAGCAGCATCTGTTGCTCTGTCCACTGGAGCCCCAGCCCAGCCCAACCCTGGAATGTGGCCCCTGCCAAGTTGTCTATGAGACAAGGTGGCCTCAGGATTCTTTGGAGGAAGCCACAGCTGTTGAAAATGGCATGGCGCTATTTGGAACATATGATTTATTGTGATTTATTGAATTTGTATACTGGACTTCATCCGTAGATCCCAAGGTGGTACAGTGCAGATGGAGTCTGAGTTATGCAGCTGAGGTGAAGGCCAAAAGCCTCAAACACAGAGGTGGCAACCTGTTTACTGCAGAGTTAGGATGCGACAGCTGGGAGAATGGAAGGCTTAAAAGCTAAGAGCACCCTCAATTTATTTCTCACCCTGGCTTTGGAGCGGGAGTAGGAGGAGTCAGCCATGCTGGGTCTGTAGTGGGGCTTTCTGATTGCGGCGCTGGTGAAGGTGTGAGGGAGTCCCTGGGGCCCAGGTTCTGTCCGGCGGAGTCAGCGCCCTTTGCAAACCTCACCTAAGGGAGCAAAAGAGGGGCATCATGGAGTCTGGTCAAGGCAACCACTGCCTCCATTTGTAGAACCTTATCCAGGCAGTAGACTGACCACCCAACAACCTTCTGAGGTTCTCTTGGTTGCTAATACATTGGGAGGCAGACACACTCACCCGTTTGACTTCCACCTCAAAGGCCAGGGTTGAGTCCGGAGGAATGCGTTCAGCTTCTCCCGAAGACCCGTAAGCCAATGCTGGTGGGATGATGAGGAACCGCCTCCCTCCTCTCTTCATGCCAATCATTCCATCTTCCCAGCCCTTCAAGTTCCGGAAATGGAGAACCAAGCAGAAAACAAGTTTGGGTGACCGCCTTCGCTAAGTGCCAGAACCACACAGCCTTCGCCAACTTGATATCGTCCAGACACCTTGGACTCCAACTCCAATCAGCATGCGCTGGCTGGGGCTGATGGGAGTTGGAGTCCACAGGATCTGTGTGTGTGTTTGTCAGGTTGGTAAAGGCTGGTTGAGAGCAGGGCACAGGAATACTGACAGTTCTCTTGCAGTCTTGAGGACAGTACTGTAGTTTAAAGCAGGGATGAAAACCATTCCCTCTGGGGCAACCTTCTTGGTGGGGAGGAGCATGCCAGGAGTGGGCGGGGCTAGAGGGGAAAGTGGGAGGGGCAACAAATGTAATTTTTACCTTTGTACAATATGCTACTTTAGACACCCACTCACACTCCCTCCTCTGTCTCTCATCCAGGACAGCAAGAGGCAACATTGGAGGTCCAGGACTGTTTTGGTCCAGGCCACAGAGCAGGCTTGGCAAGGGGCATGGCCTGGGGTGAATCCTGAGGGCCAGTTTCAGTCCCTGCTGGGCCTGAGGTTCCCCACCCCTCCTGTAAAGAAAGGGCAAGCCTGACTGACCAGTAGGGCAGGATCAGGAATTTTGTAGGGATCGAGGGACCCTGTTTGGGCCTCCCACTCCAGCAGATCCTGGCAAGCGTAGACAAGCTGGGACAGCTACCTGCCTGCCGTTCTTGAGGAAGCCATTTGATCAGGGTTTGAGCTCAAAAAGGGTTTGAGCTCAAAAAACCTTGCACTGCGGTGGGAAGAGAGCGCCATCTTACCTTGATGACTTTGCCAGAGCCTAGCTTCAGACGGAGCGGCTTCTCTTTATTTACATTCGAGTCAAAAACCTGTTCCAAAAGTGGAAGGTCAATGGGGTGAAATTACTTTTAACGCGGAAGGCAATAGGTTCACGTTCTGCTACTCCAGTTGCTGAGCCAACAGCAATGAGTATCGAAGGACGGGGCGCAACTTGGGCACAGCACCTGTTTTGCAGGCAGCCGGTTCCAGGTTCAAAACTGGCGTCTCCAAGTAAGGCAGGGAAAGGCTTTTGCTTGGAAGCCTGGAGAGCTACTGCCAATCAATGTGGGCGATGCCAACCTAGACCTGTGGCCTGATGCAGTGCAAGGCAGCTTTCTATGTTGAATCCCCTACCTAGGGGTGCCTCCCATGTTGCAGATTGGGTAAAATGAGGTTGAGAAATAGGATCTACACCTTGGAGACAGGTGAAGCTCAGGGCCTAAGAGCATGTGCTTCCCAGGAAGAAGGTCCTGAGTTCCCTCCCCAGCATCCCCAGTTGAGAAAGGGCAGCAAGGTTGGGCAAGGCCCCACCTCTGGAGAGCAACCAATGCAAGCCCCATGGAAAAGCACTGGCTAGAGCTCATTGGGGTTGGGGTCAAATGCACATTGAGCTGTGAAGCAAGCTGGGTGAGTCTCATCAAGTCCCTCTCCTGTTTCAGGAGGAATTTCCTTGCAATGTTATTGAAAGGCAAAAAGACAGGGTTGTGGGAGAAAAGGGCTGTATGCAAACTATAAACCAGGAGTGGGAAAGCTGTGGCCAAGAAGTGCTGCTAGAGACTTCAACTCCCATCATCCCCAACGCCTGGAGGATGCCACAGAAGTGCCCCATACGCAGTATAAAAACAGTATCAGCCAACCCCTCTGCCAGGTCTCACCTGCCCAAGACTACAGTTCTGGAACAGCCAGCCTGTAAAAGTGATCTCCAGGGCATCTCCAGTCTCCACACCTTGGCCGTCTCCGAGAACAAGATCCTGGCACAGCACTGAGTCAGAAGAACGGCTGCTGTTATACTTGGCAATGCACAGCTGTGAAGAAGAAGAACCAAGCCATTTGTGTTATTAGCTACCATTGTCATCCGCACCTATGCAATCTGGCCCAACGCAGCACTGGCTGAAGACCCCAGGGGCCTGAAAAGGCCCCAACTGGCTACACCACCATTCCTTGCCCTCCCTGGATGCTTCAAAGTGGTTGGCAGAGAAAGCATCTGGCGACTGATGCAAGAGAGCTGAGCTCCCGCGAACACTAGTTCAGTGTCTGCAGGAGAGCCACCCCCCACCCCACAATGCAGTGCACGCCTCTGGCACCTGCTTGCTGAAGTCCACAGCCGCCATTTCTGATTCAAACATGATGGACCAATTCTGCCTCTGATCATCATAAAATGTGCAGTAGTTGTTGGGCTGCACCTGCGGAAAGAGAAAGTGGAATTCTGAGCAGCAGACAGCCTCTGCTCAAAGCAACTTTCTTCCTGATGGGTCTTGCTAAAGACTTTGGGTTGTGTCCCAATGTTAGCCCTACTCAGAGCAGACCCATGAAAATGGATGGACATGATGAACTTTGGTGCATTAATTTCAGTGAGTCTACTCTGAGCACACACACACAAACATCAACGTCTGTAGTGTGTCATGTTTAGAAATGGAAAAATGCTATAGGATTTCGGGGTGGAGGGCTACCCCAAGGGATGTAAGCTACAGTAGGACAGAGGGCAGAATGTCATCTACTTTACTTTGTTACCTCTAGGTAAGCGTTTTAACCATAGAGGGGCCCCCTGGATCTAACACTACTCAAATCTAATGGGTTGCAACAAGCATTAGCCCTACTTGAAAGCAGACCCACTGAAATTTATTGACCACAGCTGAGACCTCATATGCAATGTGCATTTCAAACAATATCATACCAGCAAAGAATCCTGGGAATTGCAGTTTGCAAAGAGTGCTGAAATGTTGCTGGGAGACGCCCCTACTCCCCTCACCACAGGGCTACAACCCCCCCCCCCCCCAGTTCTGTACGAAGAGGGACCGTTGAAACATGAAGATCGCTGGGTGTGACCTTGGGCCAGTCACTGCTTCTCACCTCCCCCCACAGGGTGTTTGTGGGGATTAAATGAGGCAAAAAGAGAACCACACATACCATCTTGAGAAAAAGGAGGCATAGAAATGCAAAAAATAAGCAAAAAGGCAGACCATTAGGTTTCCAGGATTTTTTTGCATCAATTATTTTTGCTGACCTTCTGGATGCACAATACTTGGCTTATGCCGAGTGATTTCTATTACTACATGAGAGATCTCAAGGCAGCCCCACAGGGTTCCTAGAAGGTCTGCTGTCCAGGAGCCAACCAGCTCCACACCTCCTTAGCTTCAGCAAGATGTGTTGCATTGTGTAACCTCAGCCTATGCCATGGTCCTTGCAGGTCTTAATACCAAAGCTTACCGTGAATACAAACCAGGCATGGATGCTGGCAGTCGCAATCTGCTGCTGCTTGCTGATGTAAAGAAGCACTCTGTACTGGATTCCACAAGAGATAGATGGACAGAAGAAAACAGGAGCAAAAGTGAGGAATCCAAAACTATGGGGCTGGCTGTTTTCAAAAGCACCTGGAGCTCTTCTTATACCAGGTAGCATTTCCACAGCACCCCAACACCCAAATGACACATTAACATACAAATACATCAGAGGTGTTCATCGTAGGAATTGCTTTGGTTGCAGGTGCCTGGCTTAATTACATGTGGAATGACTTCGTTACAATGGAGCAGGCGTGGGGAGCCTTTGGTGCTGAGCTACAACACCCATTGACTCTTGCCAGCATGGCCAGTGGAGAGGGGTGATGGGAGCTGTCGTTCAGCGGCATCTGGAGAACCAAAGGCTCCCTACACCTGGACTGCGGAGAAACCAAGGGGTGAGATCTGTCCTTTTCTGCCCAATCAGCTAAACGAGAATGACATCCCAGTGTTTTATCCTGTCCCCACCACCCTCACCTGCAACAGCACAGTAGGACAAGGCAATCATACCAGAGTCTTCCTGGAATAAATGCATATGTTTCCTGACATATTTTATCTGTTTATTGTAAAACACCTGTGAATCCTTTCACAGCAAAGTTGGGCAGAACAAACCACTGAAGAGCTGGCTGACTGGGCTGAAAAGGACAGAGGCTGGAAAAACTGAATCCCTTTTCCAACATAAGCTGCTGAAACCCCCTTCCTTTTTTGAGTGGTGGGAAACGTTTATTGATTTTTCAAGCCACGACAAAGTTACTGTCTCACCTCCCTCTATCCACTCCGCACACAATACCCCCTAGGCCCTTCTTTTGTCAAGATGCTAGTCCACATGGTTCTAGAGCACATAAGAGCACAGGGAGCTGCCTTGGACTGAATCAAACCACTGGTCTCTCTAGCTCAGGACTGCCTACTCTGACCGGCAGCAGTGTCCCCAGCCCTACCCAGAAGAGCTAGCGATTGGATTTGGGAGCTTCTGTCTGCAAAGTGGATGCTGTGTTACTGAGCAACAGCCCCTTCCCTGCTGAGAATACTTTTTGTAGAGAAGTTAGGTCAGAATAAGAAAAATGGGAGCTATAACCCTTGTGAGCTGATTGGGCAGAAAGAGACAGGAGCCAAAACAGCACCTTTGCTTTTTCCAGAGTAAGACACCATCAGGAAACCAGCATTCAGACAAAGGGAAGCATTTCCTCAGCCCAACCTACATCAACCCGGTATCCTCCAGATGTTTAGGACCAACAGCAGCTGTAGTCCCAAACATCTGGAGGACAGCAGGTTGGCAGAATGCCAGGCTACTTCAAGACACCACACCTCCTCCTCTTACCTCCTTGGTTGCATTGCTGCCCACTACAGCTGCTCCATACTTGCCATGTTTCACATATTTCCCATTGGTACTGGAATGAGAAGAGAACACCTCTTAGCTTCCCACAATTGTTGCCACCATGCCAACCCCATGGGTTATATTAAGCAGCTCTTTACAAAGACTTCCCAGGGGTTGTTTAACTCTCATCAGCCCAGGCCATCTGGCCAAAAGTGAGGGGTGATGTGGGGGGCGGGCGGTAGCACCCCAGCAACAGTTTATCAGCCCACAAGCTCCCCATCCCAGGAGGTCTCTATCCTCATTTCAGTTCAGTGTTGGCTGGTGCCTCATTGGGGTGAATGCAGGGAGCCCAACTCTAGGTGGCACCAGAGCCAACGACAAGAAGGACCAGCTAAGTCTAGGGCTGTCCCCATCCTCCTTCCTGCTGTGTTCTACCATGGCAGCATGGAGACTGAGGGGGAAGAGGAAGAGGGGGTGGTGTCCTACTGGACCTGCTTTCACTGGTGTGGCATAAGGCAAGGAAATCAACAGCACATAGAGCCAGAGTCAATGATATCCACAGCCTGATTCGTTGGAAGTAAAAAAACCAAAAAGGAAGGTGAGGGCAGGCTGAGGTTGAGTTGGCGGTGCCCCATTCGCCCCAATTGACCACCCCCCACTGTTGTTCAGTTCCACCTCTTTCCAAAGAAGCCAGGCAAGATGGAGAGATGATTGCAAAAGATGTGAGCACAGGACTTGGGTAGCAAGAACACACTGCAGTCATCCCCTCTACTGTAGTACTCACAACAAATATGCATGAACAGCTGTAGCAAAGAAGACTGAATGCACTGCTGCAGCGGGCGCAGGAGCAGCAGCAGCAGGCACAGCAGTGGGTGCAGCAGCAGCAGCTGCAGGAGGATGCTTCTGGGTGGGCAGACCTGCAGCTGGAGCAGCACATGAGAAGGGTAAGTGCTCTGTCGCAAACAGAGCATTGCTTGCAAACATCAGGCCAAGTTAGCTCCCTTGTCTTGGGACCAAGCCAGTTGCTCAGATTAATGAAAAACAGGAAGTTGCCTTGTATGGCGTCAAACCACTGGGTCCATCTTCCTCAGTGTGGTGAATCCAGAAGACCGTCACCTTTCTGGAGCCCCAGGTCAGGGGTCTCTCCCCAGCACTACTCGGGAGTTGCCACAGACCAACCCAGTTGATTCTGTGGGTCTTCAGAGCCAAAGGTTGGACTAGATGAGCCACTGGCCTGGTCCACAAGGGCTCGTCTTATGTTCCTAGGCATTGTGAACAGTTTACTTACCGGTAGCTGGTTGACCTTTTTTAGGCTGCTTGGGTGGCATGTATTGGAAGAGCACATTTCCAGATTCTGTAGCTGTCTGATCCTGTCCAAAGAGAGAGGCCAGCCTGGTCCTGGGCAGAGAGAAAAGTAACCATTCACTTCATTCACAGAGAGAGGCAAGCGGGTGGGAACAAGACATGTATCTGCAAGCACAAAGATGATCATGTTTCACTGCAGGTTGGCGATTTTGTTGCAGCCTTCCCCAAAGACCAGAGGGTAATGGATTCAAAAACTAGAATCCAGTCAGTAATTAGGATGTTGGCCACCCCACTAGGTCATAATGCTTGCCGAGGGGAGCTTTGCCCAGTCTCTCTTGGGGTAACCAGCCTGGAAGAGCTGTTGTAAGAAATTAATGCACACAACTAAAGGAGTAGACACATTGTGGGTCTTCTCTAAGCAGAACTTAGTTGGAGACAATCCCTTCCTTTTCCTATTAGTTTCTATAACCTCTCTTAAGAAGAAAAGAAAAGCCTGCAGGATCTGGCCAAAGGCCCAGCGAGTCCAGCATTCTGTTCTTACAGTAGCCAACAGAACCCAAGCACAAGAGGCCTCTCCCCTCCTGTGGCTTCCAGCAACAGTTGTTCAGAAGCCCTGCTGCCACCAACTTGGTGAGCACAGCCACGGTGACTAAACATCGCTAGCCTTCTCCTCCCTGAATTTTTCTAATCCTCTTTTAAAGTCACCCAAGTTGGTGGCCATTCCTGCCTCCTGCGGGAGAGTTCTGTAGTTTAACTGTGCATGATGTGAGAAAGTACTTTCTTTTGCTTTTCCTGAAGGTCTTCCAACATTCAGCTTCATCGGATGTTCACAAGAGGGAGAGAAACTGTTCCCTATCCACTTTCTCCATGCCATGCCTAATTTGATAAACTTCTATCATATTATCTCTTACTTGCTTTTTGTCTAAACTAAAAAGTCCCTAAAACTGAAAAGACTGCTGCCAAATTAGTGCACCCAAGCTTTTATAGAACCTAGTAAACAAAAGAAAAAATTAAAGGTATCCATTATTGCAAAGATACAAGCCCTGCCCTTGCAGTTTACCCTTTCCCGACACAGGGAGATTCACAGCCAGGAATTTGGGGAGAGGGAATAAACCTTGCTGAACAGAAGTAGTTTTCCCTACAGACATTCAGAAGTATCTCATCTCAGGGTTGTTCTGGTAGCTGAAACTTACCAGTTACCACACATCCTAGCCCACTTCCCTGCACTCCTGAGAGCTAGAAACTTGCAGATTAAAACAAACGAAGAAACACTAAGGCCAAGTATCTTCAAACATTAAATTTCCAGACTTAGCCCCAAACTCCATGCTATACTGAACAGCAAGCAAAAATATCCAAGGGGTGAAGTGCCCATTTTAAATGCCTGACAGCACCCCAAACAGCTGGTCCAGATGAAACAAACCCGTGGACTGCCTGCCAAAGGTACTCTGTTCGCCGTAGGTCTGACATCGCTGTTCAAGTGCCCCAGTCGGGTCTCCAGCTCCCACCCATTCAATGTTGGCTTCTGTTTTCTCATGTCATTACCCCTCCCCTCTCTTTTCCATCCTGAAGCATCAGCAAAGTAAGGCGTGGGCAGTGGGGGGTGAATTAAACAGCTAAGGTTTCCAAAGGCAATTCTGCGTTTGCACAACAGCAATCCTCTGGAATGGCTGCATGACCTTGTGAAAGATACGAAAATCTATCCCGTATCATCTCTAAGCAGTTCTTCTAGGATTCCAGCTGGAGAAAAACCATGAGTGGCAACATGCATGTTAGAGGGGCTCCCAAAAGAAATGAGTGGAACACAGATTGTGAGCTTGGCTTCTCCTTCTGGGGAGAGTGACATTCTGGGATGACATAGATCCAGCTCACCCCACTCACGTGCCTACTCAGTTCAACTTGGAGGCAGGGAGAGCAAACTAAAGAAGAGGAAGTAAAACAGGAATTGGAGTTGACAGGACCCTCAAAGCATTTATTTCTTTATACACCACACACCCCTTGCCATAGAAGCAAACAAGTGTGTGATATATATAAAAAATACAATTAAAACTTAAATAAAAATAGAGAAACTGTTAAAAACATCTAAAAGCATAACAAAGCATCTAAAACCAATTTAAGAACAGGAATTCAATCATGTGCCTGGGGAGGCTTGTTAAAACAGAAGAGTTTTCAGCAGGCATCTAGAAGAGCAGTGATAGTGCCTGCCTAATGTCAACAGGCAGGGAGTTCCACAGTTTGGGTGCTGCCACACTAAAAGAAATGACTCCCTAGTGACAGATGGTACACGAATGGCCCTTGCCAAAGTGCAAGTTCCACAGGTCGAAAGGGATTAAACTGACAAGTACTGCATGGAGTACGGAAATGCCTTAAGTAATCTGGGACTTCAGCAGTGCCAAGATAGGATTTTCCTGTATCTCACAGGCTCTCTTCCCATGGCCCCTCTAAACTAAAGTAGGGAATGAGAAACTTTTTCAGACAAAGGACCTCATTCCCCTGTCGGCAACCTTTCAGGGGCCACATAGTAGTTGTGGGTGGGATCAGGGGCCAAAGTGCGACTCTTACCTTCTGCACAGGTCAACTTTTTATTTTTATGTTCAATCTTTATGCATAATTTATGCTGCAACCTATATTTGGTTGCCTTATTAATACATCTGAAATTTGACTCTGCACATGAGGCTACATCCCATCCATGCAAAAGTCAGAGATTTCCACACACCCCTCTCTCTATTTTCTCCATCTAGGGAAGCAAGAGGCACTATCACAGTTCAAGAAAACATTCCACACAAGCAAAAGCACCTGAGGTGTGCGCAGGGCAGGGCCAGTCAGAAGAGTGAACCAGGGAGTGGGCATCACCTTGGTAAAGGCCTGAAGAACTGAATTCCAAAGGATCTCTCTGCTACCACATTTGTACATTAACTGAACTGGTGATGACTGGTTTCCATTGGGACTGGTGGGGTGGAAGGCTGGAAGCCCAACAGTAGGAGGAGGCAGAGCCAGGAAAGTCTGGTGGTGTTGTCCCCATCCTCTTCCTTCCTGCTGAATTCTACAATGGGAAAACTAGGGCCACCCCTTGGACTGGTGGGCATAGACAAGGGACGCAGGTGGGAGTTGGCTAAGGGCAGACTGAAGTTGATGGGGCAGTGTCCCATATGCCCTAAAACAGCAGCCTCTGATGGCTTCCCAAGGGCTTAAAAGTTTGACGCTGTTACTCAGAATTGTGACATTTTTCCTACTTGCACACCAAAAGCACTCAAAAGAGCAGTTCTTTCCCCCTTAAAAATTGGCATCAACTTTCTACCAGGCATTAATCACGTTTTCAAGCTTCTCTTCATATCCTTCAAGGCTAGAAGGATAATAATTTTATAAAGGCACAACCTTAGGTGAAAACTCTCATAAGTGAAAGCCAAGATTCCCAATACAAATATATTAATAAAAAAATTGTCCAGTAGCACCTTAGAGACCAACTAAGTTTGTTCTTGGTATAAGCTTTCATGTGCATGCACACTTCTTCAGATACACACCTAGTTGTTCTCTAAGGTGCTACTGGACATTAAAAAAATTATATATATTTCGACTGCGTCAGACAAACATGGCTACCTACCTGAATCTATTCCCAGTACAGTATTTCTCAGTTCTATGCCAAGAACTAGGCTCTGAGCGCAGTAGTGGTGCAATTGAGGAATTCACCAAGTTCCTACACCAGCATTTCCTCAGTGTTTGCCCTTCTGAATTCTTTAAGATTCCTGTTTTTTCTGAAAATCCTTCCTAAACTGGAAACTAACACCAATGATCTTTCCTATTCCTCAATGTATTGCCAATGATGATGATGCAATGTTCCTTGCTGGATCAGGGTTCATTTTTACATGCCTCCTCATCCAGGAATCCACTACCACAGGAACAGCCAACAAGTCAATGAATGGCACCCCAACCTTGCTAAACCCAACTGCACTTGTTCCTTTTGTGCAATCAGTATTCACAGCTTGCTTATCTCACTGAATTCTTGCAACATTCACTCGGGGTCCAGACAGTTAACCTCCCCCATTGCCACCCTTAAGAGTTCCACGGCAATGACGACACTCTCCAACACCATCATGTCCGCTCATGATATGGGGGGGGGGCATCAGCAGCTCTCTGGAAATTACTGGACTACAACTCCCACTGTCCCTGGCCTTCAGCCATGCTGGCAAGGACTGACAGAAGCTGGAGTCCAGCCATAGGTTCCTCATCCCTGCCTTATGCCCTCCTTGTGGCCCTCTGACATGGCAATGCCCATAATAATTCCTTGATAAGAGCTCTAGCCCCCTTGCTCTGGAAGAATCTTCTACTGTGGGGCAATCTCTCCTTTGGAGGCACAGATTTAGGAGGAGGTAGTTATGGAAACAAGGCAGAGCCTTCTCCCCACCAACCACCATAAGACATGAGAGGTGAACACCCAAGGGAAATGTCATGCCTGAAAGGAAAAAGATCAGGAACATAAGAAGCTGCCTTCTATCAAACGAGACCCTTTGTGTATCTAGCTCAGTACTGTCTACTGACTGGCCGTAGCTTTCCTGGGTTTCAAACAGGGGGCATTCCCAGCCCTACTTGGAGATACCAGGGATTGAACTTAGGACCTTCTGCATGCAAAGCAGACACTAAATTTTGTTCCCAAAGCATTCCAAAAGAATCAACTCAGCTAATCAAAGGACTTTACCTTCAGCCTTGGGGCGGGGGGAAGCTGCAGCTTGGGGAAATGTCTTTTGCTGTAGGAAAAACAAGCTAAGTTGAGCTGCAAGAGGCTCTGCCCTGATTTAGGTTCCCAAGGAGACTGACAGACATCCCTCAAGTCAAGCTGAATGCCCTTGCAAAGGATTCTCATTGCTTTGCCAGAGAAATGTGAGGTGGAAGACAATTTAGTATGTTTAGGTTTTGTATACCCTGTCTTTAGTTGGATAAAGCATTGAATTTTTGTTAGTTTACTTGTCTCTGTGGTTCCATAATAATTTGAGGGGGGGGGAAAGATTTTTTTTAAAACCTCCTCAACTTGCCCAAGCACCCCAGCCCAGCTTGAAGGCCATTCCTGTGTGTGTGGTTGGATGTCTTCTTCCTAGGATCATAAGAAGTGGCCTTACATTGAGTCACGTCCTTGTTCCATCTAGTTCAATTTCACCTATAGCAACAGCTCTCCAGGGTCCCAGACAGGGACCTCATCTGCACTATACATTGGAAGCACTATTATACTCTTTATGCCCTCATGGCTTCTCCTACAAAGAATCCTGGGAACAGTAGTATGTTAAGGCTGCTGTGAGTTGTTAGGAGACCCCCTGTTCCCCTCACAGACTTACCATTCCCAGAGTTCCCTGGGAAGAGGGAATGCAGTCACTCTGAAAATTGTGTGTGGATGCAAAAACTATTGAAAGCTGTATGATACTACTTTAAATGTAAAGTGAAGATGAGATCAGGAAGTTTTTCCCAGCCTTACCTGCAGATGCTGGGCATTGAACCCAGGACCTTCTACATGCAAAGAAGATACTTCACCACCCTGTAATGCCAGTGTTGGAAAGTGTGGGTTGCAGAGGTTGGGCCCTGCAGGAACAGAGCACTTAGCTACATGGGCTCTGGGCCTGATTCAGCAGGGTTCTCCTTATGACCTTAGCCCTTACAAGTCTGTGATGTAGACCAGCATAGTATTCCCAATCCTATAGGAAGTAGTGACCAAAGCCTGAAAGATAGCAGATTCACTTAAATAATGTACGTACTGAATTGGGGACTTTCCAAGTGATGCCTTTTTCTCTTGCTTACTAATTATCACACCAGTTCCTGAAGCAAATTAATCAGCTACAAGTGTTAGGAAGAGTGAATCCTAGCTGACCAAGCTGCAGACCTACGTTACCCTCCAGATGAGTCGTCCTCTTATCGGGCAGTTAGGGTTCAGTGGCCACTTTATTCAGGTGGCTATATGTCACTCTGACCTTTGCTCACTGCCAGTGTTGCCAAAAACAACAGTGCAGTGCCCTTATTTTGAACACCTAAAATGTCACAGTGTAAGGGCACTAGAAATCTTTCTTAGGGTTCCTTTTGTAGAAGGAATCTAAGACCACAAAACACCTCCATTCAGTCCTGTTACTGGCACCCACTTTAGGGCAGGAGTTAGAATGCCAAATTGTGACCTGGGAGATCAGGGTGCAGACCCTCCCTTGGAGATTAAACTCACTTTGTGACTCTCTCTCAGTGTAACATCAGCACAGAAGAAGTGGAAACAGAAATTTAGAATCAGGAAATGGGTAAATATTTCACCACAGCACAGGCAACCTCAACCCTATGTACATTCATGGGGAAGTTCAGTTGAATTCAGTGGAGTCTACTCCCCAATAAGTCTTGCTTTTTAAGAATAATCCTCCTTTCCCCATTAACCCTTGGGCCGAACTTCCTAGTCCCAAACCACTACTAAAACATAATGTATTCCCTCACTCTACAAAAGGTGTGGGGTATGTTTGGCCCTCTGGATTGTAGCGCAAGTGCACTCTCATCTCCAGTGGTGTAGTGATCTCGGGTTGCGGAGGTTACTATTTCTGCAGCAGGGTCCCTGCCTCCCGCACCCAATCATCATGAGAGGCGAACTTTTTAGCCACTGCATGCTCCAAAGATAAGCATGTAAGAAACAGTGAAAACACAAGGCACTTCGGTTTCAGCTCAATGCTGCCTCTGCTCAGAGTAGGTCCACTGAAATGGGCGGGCATAACCAACGCATAGCTTAGTCGGATGCAAGCCGGTGCCTCCCATTTCATCCTTAGCTGGACGAAACCCCGCCCATTTCATCCTCACCAGCTGGCTCAAAGACGCCTAGCTCAGCTGAACTTCGCCTCTCTCTCAGCGCCTAACAGCACGTATTTGCAGACAAAGCCCTCTGCATGTGTTTGGAATCACCCTTCGCAAGCCTGCACCCACCCACCCCAGCCCCACATACAGCCCCAGCCCCACATGCTGCCCCAGCCCCACATATAGCTCTAGTCCCACATGCAGCCCCAGCCCCACATACACCCCCAGAACCACATACAGACCCAGCCCCACACCCACCCCAGCCCCACATGCTGCCCCAGCCCCACACCCACCCCAGCCCCACATGCTGCCCCAGCCCCACATACAGCTCTAGTCCCACATGCAGCCCCAGCCCCACATACACCCCCAGAACCACATACAGACCCAACCCCACACCCACCCCAGCCCCACATGCTGCCCCAGCCCCACATACAGTCTAGTCCCACATGCTGCCCCAGCCCCACATGCAGCCCCAGCCCCACATACAGCTCTAGTCCCCTCACACAGCCCCGCCCCCTCACGCGGACCCAAAGACACCCGCACACCCCGCATCTCCCCCCACGCAGAGAGGCGCCGCATTCTCACCCTCCCGTCGGAAGCTGGAAGGCCTCGTCTTCTTCATCCATGTCCCCCAACATCCTGACGGCCCCTCGCTCCCCGCGCCCCTCGGCTAAGCCCAAGCCGGGAGGCGAGAGCCGCAAAGTGCGCGGCTGCAACTTCTCGGCCATGGCGCAAGCGCTGGGCTGCGGAAGCGAAACTAGCAAGGCAAAGCGGCCGGCGGCACGTGATCACGGCCAAGCATTTACCGGTCACCAAGCGGCCCAAACTTCCAGGCGGAAGAAAGAAACGCGTCCACGGGGGCGCTAGCGAGCCGCTGCCGTGATTTTAGCGCCGGGGCTCTTATGTTTGACGGAAAGGGAGGGGGACCAATGGGAAGCTGGTTTCTGGGAGAGGGAGGCGGGAAGGCGGGTGACGCTCGCTCGATGCTGGCCAGTGAGGTGGCGCCTCCGTTCGCCGGGCGAAGAAGGGACACGTCTGAGGAGGTCGAGGCAAGGAGCAGAAGGCGAGGAAGGCGCAGGTAGGCGGCGAGCAGAGGGAGCGAGTGCGAGGGTTCCGGTGCCAGCGCCTCACCGGGGGGGGGGGGGGCTGAGGGCATAGCTGTCAACCTTCCCTTTTTTGCGGCAAATCCCCTTATTCCAGTGCCGTTTACCGCTGCTGTCCCGGATTGTTAGAGATCCCGTAGCCTGTCCCCGGGACAGGTGAGGCTGCTGATCCCTTTTTTTCGAGGCTGCTGATCCCTTATTTTCAAATCTGAAAGTTGACAGCTATGGCTGAGGGAGGTGGACGAGGAGGCAGGGAACGAAGATAACTGGAAACAGTTCCGTTTTTATATGTGTTCATATATCTATATGGTAATCTTGAAAAATAATAAAATAAATATGATCGTTACCTCAAGAATAATGAATAAATCCTAAATGACAGAGGAACAACGGGAACGCAGGGAGCCTGGGGGCCTGAGGGTGAAAAGGAGGAATGAAACGGGGGTGAAGAAGGGCAGGATTCCGAGGGGGAGGCAGAGGGCAGGAGGGACGAGGGCGGAAAAGGCGGGTGGCCGGAGCTCGGGAGGTGGGAAGTGCCGTTGTATTCCGATGTGGCATTTTAGTTCTTGTTTATTAATGCTTTCGTCTGATTTCAATACCTTTGGGTGCATGTGCCACACAGTACACTTCAGTCACAGTCAAAGCACATGGGAGTTGTAGTTTGTTCATCGTGGAGCTACATTTCCCAGCACCCTTAAACTTAAGTTCCCTGGCTGGCTGCATACACATCATACGTTTAAAGCATGCGTCTCCCCCCCCCCCCAAGAATCCTGGAAATCGTAGTGTACCCCTCACTGGGCTACAGTTCCAAGCACCCATAAACTAATGTGCCCAGGGTACTTTGTGGGGAATGTGCTTTAAATGTGTGGCATGTGTGCAACCTGGTTGCATATGCAACATACATTTAAATTACATTTCCCCCCTTCAAGTTCCCCAAACCCTTAACAGACTACAGTTCCCAACATTCTTTTGTCGTGAGGGGGAATTGTGTGCTTTAACAATGTAGTGTTTTCACAGCCTCAGTTGTTTTACTGTGTAAGTCGCTTTGAGGTACCTGAATGCAAAAATGTCACTAATAATTGTAAAATAATAAATAAAAATAAAATGAATTGAGTGAAGAAGAGTAAGGATCCGTGAAAGCAGAAGATGGGCAGAAGAACTCTGTTGCAGGAACAAGTCAAAGCCTATCTAATCCAGCTTTCGGTCCTGACTGAGGCCAACCAGATGGATGTCCTCATGGAAAGCCCACAGGGAGGAGCTGAGTGCAACTACAGTGCTCCCTAGCAGCTCATATTCAGACGCCGACTGCCTCCAACAGCGGAGGGAAGACATAGGCATCATGGCTAGTAGCTGTTGGTAGCCTCTTAAAGCCTCTGTGAGTGAAGGTGTGTGTGGAAAGGTGAGAAGGATGGGACCTGAGTGTTGAATTGAAATGAGATTTGTAAAGTGTAGGGGACTGAATGGAATGGGTGACAGGATGAAGAGGTGGGTTAAGGGAAAGAACATGAGAGTGAATGATAGGCGAGAGACAGAGGCCGAATGAGAAAGGAGAGTGGTGGTAGAGAATGATCAGCTGGCTGGACTAGTAGAGTTTAATGTTATAGGGAAATGGGGAGGTGTGTATTTATGACCAGCAGGCCTTCCAAAGTGCCATTCTAGGAAGCGATGTAACTTGCCTTCCTAACTCTCTAGTTCTTTTATGTCCAAACAGTTTCTTTGAGGAATTTTTCTTTTTGGGTTTTTCAAGACTGAGTTAGAAAGAATCTCAGTTTCCAAGCTGGTGAAGAAGTGTTTGCTGATTTGGAAGACAAACAGGCCCAAAATACAAATAAATCTATAAATCTATATTGTATAGGAGTGGCTTGTGTGAAATGTTTTTTTTCCACCCTTGCTTTGGAGGTGGCAGTGTTGTAGGGCACTTCCTAGATTGGCGGACAGGAGTAGGTGGATAAGTATTCTAGGCATCTGGTTTCCCAGGCTCCAATAAGTGTAAAGGTGGCACCTAGAACTTCTCAGGCTTGAACTATCATGATTGGTGCTGACTACTGAGGAGTAGGAAATCTTTTTGCAGGTGTAGTCTAATTCATTCTGCCCAGAAATGCACCCTTCTTCTGTTATCTTCTGTGCCTCAGGTTCCATTTCTGGGCTGTTGTCCAGGATCTCCTGGTTTAGAATGCCTTTGTCTGGAGAGTTGGCTAGGCACGTCTCCCAGAAGAATTAAGAACTGATTTTAAAAAGGCTTTTACACTCTTGGAGATTAACTCTGTAAAAAAAACCCAAAAAAAAACAAACCCAAACTTTTCTGTAATAAGAGTCTCTCTCAAAATGTGATTTGAAACTTGAGAGTTTAGAAGCCAGCTGTATTTTCCCTGTCAATTGTGTCTTTGAAAACTGAATCACCAGAAACAGCAGATTCAAATTCTTTGTACTCATTCAAATCCTAACAGATGTTGGTTAGATCGGACAAATAGCTGAAGAGGAAACTGAGCTGCTGTAGCCAAAATGTGGGATTTAAGAGGTTTGGTGATGCATCTTACTCTAAACACCCATGACATGTCATAGAAAATAATCCAACTCTGGGATCATCTCTTGAGGTTGATTCTTTCATTGAACAAGTGGTGTGCCTTTCATTCCCACACACTGCTCCAGTAATGTTTGCAGCTGAAGCCTACATTTCAAGAAAGTTCCAGGAATCAGTGAACAGAAGCATTGCTGATTTTTCTACAGTGTCTTATAACAAGCTTGTAAAGCTTGTGTGGCCTGGGTAGCCAATTCAAAATTTGTGGTCACCCGAACATGCCCTTGCTACAAAAAGCCTGCTGCACCACTGGAACATGGTGTAAGATGAAGGACAAAGATGCAAGGGTGTGGTATCTTTCCCTGTCTCTGCACCTGCATCATCTTCCTCCAGCTCAGAGCCAGAAAGGTAAGACAGAGGTTTGTTTTGGCTCTGTATTCACACCCAGCAAGTGCAGAACTAAAGCAAGCTGTAGGCTTCTAACCATGTTTGGGATGGCGGAGGGAGTAATTTCTACCCCTCTGCAGCTCTAATGTCAGAAGAAGGCCTCAGACTTGACCCACTCGCAACAGCACGTCTGACTCCTTGCCCTGATGAAGGGAGCAAGCACATCCCAGATGCAGGGGCAGGGGAACCTTTGTTCCTCCAGATGTTGCTACACTCCCATCAGCCCTAGCAATCATGCACAATGGACAATAATAATTGGAGTTGTACTTCAGCAACCTCAGTGGGAGGGGGAAGGTTCTTCACACTTTTGTTAGAGCATGTACACAGTTTTAAAAAGAAATCCCCAGAAACCACATTGCCCTGTTCTAGCTGTTTGATTCCAGTCACTGTGCTATCCATCTGACCTTGGACTGTGTATTTGCCAGATCGAGAGTGTTTTCATAAGAAGAGGGCACAAAATAAAAATCAACCTGAGGGCAACTTTCCTCCTTTTACTGTGTACCTGCCCATGTCCCTGGGGTTCTTAAAGGTGGTATTCCTATTGACTAAACAGTCCATTTTTTTCTTTCTTGGCAGTGTACAGAAATCATCAGTCTGCTGCCAGGAGTTGGAGTTTAGGCTTAGGTGTTCGGGAGCAGAGCTAAGCACACAAACAACGGAGAATTACAGATGATATAGATTGCAAATTTTACACAGGATAAGAGCTATCTCTTCATTTGTAAACTTTTGAAGTCATCCGTAGTTAAGGTAAGCTTTTTGGTCTATTTTTAGCTTGTTAATTAATGCTTGTTTATCTTCCAGCAGTTCATTTATTTTGTGGACACTAATTAGCTGGCAGATAGAGAATCCAAATATTTCTTCTAGTTTCGTGAATAGTTAAAAGAAGGAGATATTGCCGACCTAGTGTCCTAATTTAAGAACTATTATACAGTGTGTGGACTTCATTAATGTTCCTTGCTCAAGACAGTTCTCCACCTCCCAAAACTTCTATGTCGTATGAGAGGTTTATCTTATCCCTGACCCCCTTATCTCAAAAGGGAGTTTTGTCAATATGCCTTGGTTGCCTTTAATCAAGGCATAATGATCTCTGCGGACAGGAGTGTCAGCAGCTGATAACTAGTCTCCCATCATTCCTCCTTAGAAGTTGAGTTCAGTAAGGCTTTTGACAGTTCCCCATAATATTCTTGCAAAGTAGGTGGTAAAATGTAGACTGGATGAGGTAACTGTTGACTGGTTCACTGACCGAACCCAAAGAGTGCTCACTAATCATCATCCTGGAAAAAAGTGACAAGTGGGGTACCACAGGGTTCTCTCCTGGGTCCATTGTTATTCATTGTCTTTAAAAATTACTTGGATGAAGGAATTGATGGGGATGCTCATTAAATTGGCAGATAACACCAAATAGGACAGGTAGCTAATGGAGAACTGGACCCAAACTAACAAAATGAATTTCAATACGCACAAATGCAGGGTTCTGCACTTAGGCAGGAAGAACCAGATTCACAAATATAAGATCAGAGACACTTGTGAAAAGGACCTAGGGGTCTTAGTGGACCACAAGCTTGGGACATAAGTCAACAGTGTGATGCAGCAGCAAGAAAGCTAATGCAATTCTAGCCTGCATCAACAGAAGTATAGTGTCCATACCAAGGGAAATAACAACACCACTCTATTCTACCTTAGTCAGACGATAGCCAATATATTGACAAGCTGGAACATGTGCAGAGGAAGGAACCAAGATGATCAAGGGTCTGGAAATAAAGAC